CGTCGACCTTTTGGAACGACTGCTCAACTTGCACCTGCTAATATCTTATTCTAATGAGGACACTACGCTGACCCTAATGGATTTCATCCCCTAAAAAAGAGAGCTCTCCTCCACCTCTTTCGCTATCCAGAGAACCTTTACCGTTAATTCCTTTGGTAAAATAAACGGAAAATCACGAAAGTCTTGGTTAATTCTTGACATTCCATCCGGTTAAAAAATATTTCTATCCTCCCTACGCTGGGAGGGTTAATCGACGATCAATAAGTTCGATCTTTTTATCGCGTTTACCTCTTGAGCCCCGAAACAGCTTTAGTTAATTATTCGATTGGAAGAACCGCCTCGAGACCTCTTACGTAGATTACAAATGCAGACCTCGAGGATTCCAAAAGTACGTAAACACTTCTCGTTTCGACACTCCTCTAATGCCTCGGCCGTTGAATTAGTAATGGGCCTCCTAAATAAATTCGAAATTAAAAGATTACCCAATTACGAGCCGCCGTGATCCTTTTTATCGGGTTTCCTTAACGCAGAAGAGATCTCGTAGCTCCGGCAAAACACGAGCGTCACTCCATGAATACGTATCGCAGCCTTCCATTGAATTACTCCAGTAATGGGGCCTCCTAGGTGAGACCGATACGACGTTAAATGATTAAGCGAGCCATCACTCATATAAATGCGTTTACCATATTTACCTTGCGCCAGGGAAGATCACGTACGTCCTCGATTCGTCGCTCTTATGACGCCACCGCTCTCTTAGGAATTTATTTGAGATAATTATAGTCCATTACTCGAATCGCCCCTAGGCTCATTAAATGCTAAAGAAGCTCCAAAGGGCCTCCAAAAAATGACAAGACCTCTCCTACAACCATCGTTCCCATATCGATAATTTCTCACCGACTCTGCGCTGAGTAAAGATGTCCTTGGAAGATCAAATATATATATATATTTTTTTTCCATACCAGGAAATCTCCGTTTTCCTAAATTAAGAAAATCAATCGAAATCATAAAGTTATTCCAGATAATTACACTCCATCGCTCGAATTATCCCTGAGCTCATTGGATGGTAAATCTGCTCAAAAGGGCCTCCAAAAATTTGGGACTTCCCAATTTTATCCATGGTTCTTGTGTAAACAATTTTCTATCGTTTCTTTGGGAAATCGGCGTCTTTTAAAATTCCAAAAACTCCACTTTGAAGGTTCGGATATTTTTTTTTTCAGGGCAGAAAATCTCCGTTTTCTTGGACGTACCCCTTGGATGGAAAGGGCCGCCGTCTTCCCATGAATTAATAAAGCCTCCAGGTTGGATCGATACTCGTTCTTGGGACGAGAAACGAGGCGATACCAACCCTCGGGCTGGTTTCGATCGGCGAACCTTCACCTAGATCGAGCCGCAATTTTTACCTCCTCTAGATTGGCCGAAGGAGGCATATCGATTCGCGACACCGCTTGCGTAAAGTCGACCCTTGTGCTCGTTATTGTTATTTATCGAGACGCCTATTACGCGTATGACGAGGCAGCTCTGCCCAATCAGGACTTCCTTTGATTACGAGCCGTTGCAAGCCAGAAAATGCAAGGTGGGGTTATTCACTCGGGAAATTCTGAATTTTAAAGCTGGAAATCGTTGGAAATTCCTGAAACATTGTCAGAATTTTAAGGCCGAACGCCATTGTTATCAAGTCGCATATTTTATTATATGAAATCAAAGGCAATCGGGTCTCAAAAGGCAGGAAATCGTTTTCATTGATTTCCGAGTGAACAGTCCCTTGGAGAGCTGTGATATAAAATCCGTCTTCGTGATCCTCTTCAGGGAGCGTTCTCCGGGATTTCGCCACTTCGGCAGAAGTCACGGTGCCTCGAAAAACCCGTGGGGTCGTAATTGTGATCGATTATCCTAAGCGTGCTCGGTCGTCACCTCGACTCGTTTCTAAGCTTTCTCCATACGCAGATATGCGCTCGACGTATGTCGGCACGCCGAATGCGTGGATAATGAACGACTCGATCATTACGCCGTTGCATAGGTCATTCCGATTTTCCAAGGATTATCCGACTTCCCCGATATTATCCGACTTATCCGACCTCCCGCGACACGCGATATCGCTCGTTACAATGCTGTCAATTAATTTGTAGAATTAAATCACGGGGCCAACCCTGCAACATCCACCTTTCAGGAATTCCAGGCAACCCTGGGAAGCAACTAGATGTTTATCCAAACCGAGACTCGTGGAAATGCAAACGCAGAGGTACATCCCATTATGCAGTTTCGAATTGCAGATTGCAAATAGATCATGGAACTGGTATGCTTGGGCGAAATTCGGAAAGTGGAAAATTTCGATACCGTCAGGTCACCGACGAGATTGCCCACACTCTATCCCTGGTTATTTCTACGCCAGGATAAATCGCAGGAAAATTCTATGTGTAATATCACTAGCTCAAAAGATAATAACGTGATGTTGCAGTTAATCTAAGGAAAAGTGCACTGATACGGTGGAATATACGACTTTACGGGTATTTACGCACTTTCTCAATGATTGACACGTTTTACGGTTTTCTCTGAGAATTTCCTGATATTTTCAGGGAGATGTTTAGAAATCATTATGATGCATATGTGTGTTGGAATAAATTTGCGACACGAAGAAGAGTTAAGTGCGGAGGAAGGGATCGATGGCCGTCGGGGGGATAGAGCTCGCGCATCGGTCGCAATAATTCCTTAATCAATTAGCCCCGTAAGAGAGATGAGGCAAGACTCGTGCTCGCACTCGCAAACACACCACGGGTATTAATTATCTAGGGCAGATGTTCGCGATGCAACTGTGATCTACTACGCGCCATGACTTTCGCTTTCCTAACGACGCTGTGCCTCTTCTCCGAACTTTGCGCAAACCTTCGGTCCCAAGGCCGCCCCGGATGCATAAATAATGGTTGAATAAATAATAACAAATACGAAAGACAGCCCCCACCGGAAAAAAAAATAATATCCTGCCTTAGAAATCTCCACCGAGGAAAAACATAGAAGGTTTCCTTCTTCAGGAAAATATGGACTGCGCCTTATTCATGGCTTCCGCGCAGGTAAGCAGTCTTTAATTTTTAAGACCTCCGTGAAATTACCATAATCACCCGGGAACCGCCGCATCTCCATGTTTACCGTATTCTCCTCTCGGAATGGGGAATTTCAAGTTCCGGCTCGTTGAAATTCACCGAAGCCGCCTCGAAACGCGCGACGTGGATGGCGGCCATTTAAATCGAAATCGATATTTCTCGGCCGCCTCGAACTCGATTGATTTAAATCCAGGCTCGCCAAGTGTAATCGCGGTGTTGGGAAAACCTCGTAAAAGGGGCATTAAGTGTCGGTTACTTCGGAGGGAGTGTCGTTAAAAGTTCAGCCGCGCTTTCTTCAGGGTCGATCGCGCCAGCGAGCTGGGGCAATCGGTCGGCGAACGTCTAATCTCGGTTTAATGATAACCGCCTGCAGTGATAACGCCTCTCGATTTCGAGGGAAATATGGAGAAGGGCTAGTGGCGGTTCGTTCGGAAATTAAATGAGCTTTGGTCGGCTTTTTCCTACGCCATCAAACAGTGACGGTTGCCATTTTTACGGATGCATCACCCGGCGTGCAAGAATTACGTACCCAAGCAAAGTCGGCACTCCTTGGGACGTGCCTGGCGAACGGCACGATTCCGGCCCGAGGATTCGAAATTCGAGTCGAGCACTATCTGATCTGAATTTTGACTTCCGTTGATGAGACGGAGGAAATCGAAATCGTCTCTAGGAGACCCGATGCCAACGTTCCTTCTACGTTCCTCACGACGAAGTACCAAACAAAGTCTGGTTGTCCTCATCATGGGGCATTTAATTCTTTATAATAGTTAATACAATTTAATCCCATTTAAAAATAAGAAATTACTGCTGCGGATACAGGAAAAATTGCACTTAGGAATATAGGACCATCCCAAAGCGAACGTGGATGTACATCCATGCAAGTGCGGCAGCCGTTGCACCGTAGAAATTTTGGCTGCAGATTGGATGTATCGATTAATAAAATTGCCATTAGGGATACCAGAGCGTATTGAAACGGACATCGTGGGTGCACGCCGATATGCGAGTGGATGCACGTGGATGCAAGTGGATGCAAATGCATCCGCACCGTGCAACGCCAAAGTCCTAGCACAGAGTCAGGCTTACGGTTGACGGATCGAGAGGATCATGAGGCATTTAATTGTTTATAACAGTTAATACATTTTTATCCCTTGCTAAAATGATAAGTTACCGCTGAGGATACAGGAGAAATTGCAATTAGGAATATAAGAGCATCCCAAAGCGAACGTGGGGGAACATCCATGCGAGTGCAGCAACCGTTGCACCGTCAAAATCTTGGCAGTGGATTAGATTAATCGATGAATAAAATTCCAACGCCCTTAACAGCGCAAAAGAAACCGTGGAAATGAATAAAATTACCATTAGGAATATCAGAGCGTGTTGGAACGGATATCGTGGGTGCGCGCCTATATGCGAGTGGATGCAGGTGGATCCAAGTGGATGCGAATGCATCCGCACCGTGCAGCGTCAAAGTCTTACCACGGGGTCGGGCTTACATTTGACGGATCGCGAGGGTCCGGAGACAGCTTGGAGAACGGTACAGGGGAGACGAGAGTAAAAGTGAACAAGGTATACCTCGGCAGGGAAAAAATAGTGAAAGACCGCGTGGCCAGGGTCAACCCGGGCGCATCTCCTCCTCTCTTCGGCCACTCGTCATCCCCAGCCGCGGTCCCCACCAAGACTCATCCTCCTTGTGTCGAGGCATCCTCCTGCACCTCGGGGACTTTCTCCGAAAGACCGCCAACTATATAAGCCAGATCCGCCGTCTTTGAAGCACGTTAGACCTAATCAAACGACCGGTCGAGCCTTCCGCGCCAGTTTTTTCCGTCCTTCCTTCCGAGACCAGGGGACCCCCCGCGGATCCTCTGCACGTGAATCGACTCGGATTCTAAAAATCGATCTTACGTCATGTGGCCCACGAATCGATGGGCCCCCGTGGTGGTGACCGCCCTGGCGGCGACTCTCCTCCTTCCACCCTGCAGCGCCGATGGTGAGTACGGTCGTCTTATCATCTTATCACCTCCTCGTCTCATCGGAACCGGGGAAATCTTCCTTCCAAAACTGACCCCCTGAGAAAGAAATTCCACGAACCAAGGAGATGTTTCAATAGTATTAAAGAAATATTCTTTTAATTCAAGTATTCACTGGAATAAACTCAAATTATCGCTCCCCCGAAGAAACGTGGCGTTCCATTTATTTGAGCCCATGGGGTAAAATTCATTGAGTGAAGAAAATATTTCTCTGGTTCGGTGAAATTTTTTTTTTCTCAGGGAGTAAATTTATAATAATAGTCTCGAGGGATTTTCATCTCGTCGATTTCTCGTGTCGGGGGATTTATTTCTCGGCCAAGAGCATATTCTTTCCAGTGACGCGTTCGGAAATTAGGAAAATAGAAACTAGAAAGGCGGAATGGCCTAAGCGGAAGAAACCATGGAATTGGAAAACGAAAGTAAGAGGTCCATTTAAACTACGAGTTCCTCTTCAGGGCCTTGTTAGGGAGGAAGAGGAGAAAGTCCATATTCGAAGGTTCGTTAGAAGAATTGGGGAAATCAGGTTAAAGCGAGGTAATCAGGGAGAGAGACTGAACGTAATCGTGGTCTTTGTCTACCCTATGGTTACTTGTCCAGGTCGAGCCGGAGAGGGAAAAAAGCGATATTTATTTCCATAGACCATCGAAAGCGAGTGCTCCTTCTGCAGTTAAGATGACGGAACAAATTGCCGTCCTTTGGTGCACTCGGCGCGGCGCGTGAAAATCGGAAACGAGGCGCGAAGATCTCGCGAGTCGCTTTTACGAGCTGCACTCCTCCTGCATAGGCGGGGTCACTCGCGAAAGTGCATTTGCAACTCGGCGAAGGACTTTCCCTTATCGTTCGCAGGGGAAATCGCGCTCGGACGACGAAAATCCGCGATCCAAAGTGCAGGAAAAAAAAATGGAACATAAGGAGAATCGCCGATCAGGACAATTCGGCTTCGTTTAAATCGTATATAATAATCGCGCCACATTTGGTAATTGCAACGGCAAGTCCTTCCAGGATGATAAATTTAAGAGAATACGTCAATCTTCCCGATGCACTTTTGATATCAGGCACAGCCATAATGCCCCAAAGACGCGCATCATCGCCTGTCCGCTCCATCCACCTCCCATGAAAGCCACTTTTTGCAATAAACTTTCCTGCGTGATGGATAACAGGATTAGCGGTGAAAACGTGCTTACGACTCTAGGGAACTTTCTTGAGGCATTAGCGAGGAGGTTGGAATAAATTTCCTTGACGACCTCGACTTAGTTTCGGCCGGCATTAAGTTGGGCATTCGTGAAGCCCGGCTATTGATGTCCCCAAAGATGTCCCCAAAAAGTAGACCTCGAAGAAACTAGATATAGCCATAAAATGACCATAAAATAGATTCAAAGCAAATAAATAATCCCGTTACATATTCGAGTCATCGTACATAACAACTGACCGACATAATCGTGACGACAATACGCGGGATAACGCGAGTTAAAGTCTAACCACAGCGAAAATGAGGGTGATAAGGAAGCCGACGTTCTCCCACACTTTCTCTACCGATGTCACCACGGTGGCCTAAGGAAAGGCGGACACGGATGTACAAAGTCTCTCTTTGCAGCGCCCCTGACGGGTAGTTATCTTCCTCCGTCAACGAGCTACGGGACGCCGAACCTGGGAGGCGGCGGCGGAAGTTTCGGGGGTGGCGGCGGAAGTTTCGGGGGCGGCGCCCCCTCCTCGAGCTACGGAGCTCCCTCTTCCAGCTACGGCGCGCCGTCGTCGGGCGGTAGTTTCGGGGGTGGCAGTAGCTTCGGAGGCGGCGGTAGCTTCGGAGGTGGTGCGCCCTCGTCCAGCTACGGCGCCCCGTCATCCGGAGGCGGTAGTTTTGGGGGTAGTTTCGGAGGCAGCTCTCCATCCAGCACCTACGGAGCCCCGAGTTCGGGTGGAGGTGGGAGCTACTCGGCGCCGTCGTCCAGCTACGGCGCACCCAGCTCGGGAGGTGGGAGCTACTCCGCGCCCTCGTCCAGCTACGGCGCCCCGTCTTCAGGAGGTAGCTTTGGAGGCAGTTTCGGAGGCAGCTTCGGAGGCGGAAGTGGAGCACCGTCCAGCAGCTACGGCACCCCATCCAGGCCTTCCTCCAACTACGGCGCGCCAGCTTCCAGGCCGTCTTCCGGTTATGGCGCCCCATCCAGTGGTGGATTCGGAGGTGGCAGGCCATCTTCCAGCTACGGTGCCCCCAGCTCCGGAGGTAGCTTCGGAGGCGGTAGCTTTGGTGGTGGAAGCTTCGGAGGTGGCAGACCGTCCTCCAGCTACGGCACTCCCTCGGTCGGCAGGCCCTCTTCCAGCTACGGCGCTCCCAGCTCCGGTGGTAGCTTTGGGGGCGGCAGCTACTCAGGTGGGGCACCCTCCTCTAGCTACGGGGCACCTTCTGCTGGAGGTAGCTTCGGAGGTGGACGACCCTCCTCCAGCTATGGGGCACCCAGCTCCGGTGGCGGATTCGGAGGCGGATTCGGCGGCGGATTCGGCGGCGGGTGAGTTCAACGATAATTTTACATCATTATTAATTAATTAATTAACCGTGATTTCTCCTGGGGGAAGATCAGTCCATTGTCGGAACATCACTTTTCTACCTCGTGCTATTTAGATACTTAATAGCTACCCTTTGAAGAAGTCATGGAAAGACTTAACCCCAAGACTCTGATACTCTTGGGTAACTTAGGTAGCTTCTATATAAACGATCTAAACTTTTGAACCAGATCCGGGGGGTACTCCGGAGGTGGTGGACGACCATCCTCGACCTACGGCGCTCCCAGCAGCGGCGGAGGCGGTGGAGGACAGAGCTACGCCAGCAACGGAGGCTACCAATATTAATCCCGACCGAGAGCGGCCCCTTAACTGACTTCAGAACATTCCGAGAGCCTTGACACAACTGTACAATAAATATAAGGAGCAAGGTCAAGTCGCGGTCTAAGATCGACCGCCATTCTCGACCGGGCGGCGTTAAGCAACGAAACGTCGTTCCTCGTTCCTTATATCGATACCTTGGAACATCCAACAGGGATTGTCGCAAGGGGAAGAATAACTTTTCAACGCACGACCAAGACAACTATCCAGCTGTCTGACGAGCGTCGAAAAATTAGCTTCTCGAGGAAGAGCGAAGAATTCGAAGAGCTTACCCTGAGGACTGCCACCTCGAAGGAGTCCTCGAAGACTCGAAGCACCCCACGAAAGCCACGAGGCATCCTTTCGACTAACCGCGACGAGACCTCGGAGGAGAGGCCAAACCGCCTTTCGACCTGAACGAGACCTGGTCCGACTCGAAGAGACCTTTTCTACTCCTTTTTCTACCCTGAAGAGCTTCCGGAGCTTCCGGGAAACTCGAAATTCCCGCACCGCCTCGAGGACTCGGCCCAACAGCTACCATGGACGATCCGCGCGGTTGCGAGTAATTTATTTATTTTGTAAAGACGCTTTTTGTACTAATAAAGCCGCTACGCTGAAGAGGACCACGAGGAGTTCCCTTGGTTTTTGATCGCCCCCCCTCGACGATATCGGCAAACCCTCGGGCGAATATCTGAGTAAGGTTAGTCGGTCGGTCGATTTATCGATTCGCGAGTTCTCTGCTCGGGAACGCATAAATAACTAAGAGGTCTTTCCGTTCTTTTGGCTCCCTCTAAAGCCAACTACCCGATGAGAGGTAGCCTCCAAATGGATGCCGAAAACCCTCCACGTTCAGTCCTCTCGAAAGCCTCCATTTTGAACTAGATTTATTACCCTAGCATAAAATTTCCCAAATACCGGAGAAATTAAACAAAAAAAAATTCACATACAAAAGGGGACTTTCTCGATGTAATCGCCGGTGAAAATGAGCTTGGACCGGGCAAGTGAATGGATTAAAAGAAATTAGTCATTTGCATATGAAAGGAAAGAGATTTTTTTTCTATCTTGTCGGTGAAAATTGTCCTGGATGAACGAAGGCTCTTTTTTAATGAGCGCCATCGGCGTCGTCCGGTGTCATGCGAGTTAAACCTCCCCATGATGGAGGCCGTGTTAAAAAGGCTCATTGAAATGTCAGGAGTCCCCTTTATACGAGCATTAAATTAACATCTGATCTACAGAGGCGCATTTGACACGCTATACCCGTCCCCGGCTATTTCCAGAAAACCTGGCGAACTATCGCCACGCTATAGATCTCCACGCTCGACGGTTCCTTTTATACACCGTTTATTTTTAACATTTACAATCAACATCTCGTCTCACTTAAAATCAATTTTACACATAGGTATATATATATAATATACATAGTACGGTACCGAGTAACGCTGGCGCCGATAAGGTACCTGTGTACGTGGGATACGCTCTGACGGGTAATCTGCATTTATATTATACATCGTTATCGATAATCGTTACTCGGGGCTACGGGTATCCCGTGGGAACGCACGACAGTAGGACTCTTTTTTACGACCGGACTAGGAGCAGGTAACTTGTCAAGCAATCACCGCAATTTCGAGCTTTCCGGCCCGAGTCGCGAGGAAAAAGTCGATTTAACCCTTTCCCAGCATAAAAATACCCTCTACGGAGAATTACCTCCTTACCTGGATTACCAACCGTGCGTGCAGGACAAAAATTACCCATCATAAAAATCGTTCAATTGCCTCCTAATTTCCGAAAACGTCTCGGTCGAAAGCATCGAATTTTCAGTCGATACCCCAAATATAACAAACTATATTAATATCTCGCGTGATTTACTTGAATATTTGATGCACTCGACCGAGCGTTATTGACCAATGAACTTTGTTACGTTAATTAGTCTGGTGGTATATTATGATAACTACTATGATTCTGAAAAATGTTTTTCTGGGTGCAGCTGATGGATCGAGAGGTTTCTTTTTGGTAAGGGTCGAAGGGGTTAGGGAGGAAAGGGTTAATTGTTTTACCTCGCGACGTGGGGGGGAAAGTCGAGGGAATCGCGGAAAATCGCGGAAGATCGTGCGAGACCGTTCGGCGTGGACAGCCCTTGATAAGAGGCGCCGTGATAAGAGGGAGGGTCGGGACCCCCCATTTTTGGCGCACCCCTCGTTCCGGCCCCACCCACCCCACCCACTTACTCTTACTCTAGTTAACGATAGCATACTTCGTGATATGTATAGGTTTCGTTACGTCGTTACAACTGTAATTGATATGTAGGTGACAGCTCGCGCGGAACAGCTCCGGGGCGGACTCGCCGAGGGAACGTCCACCTCGAGTTCGAATAATCGAAAGGAAAAAAGGAAAGGAAACACTGTAACAACCCCCGTGACAACTCTCGCAACCCTTACAACTAACCCCCAACATTGGCCAAGGGTGTTCGCCCGCGAATCCTCCCTTGAGCCCTCGCGGCGAGCTCGCGAAAAGAGACTCGCGGATTCTCGTGTGATGACCCTCGCGATTCCTTTAAGGAAGAGACTCCCGAATTCTCGCGGTGACGCGTGAATCTTCCCCAGAAAGAGACCCGCGAATTCTCGCGAACAGATTTGCGAATTTCTCCGAAAAGAAACTCACGATCTCTCGCGAACCCTCGTCAATTTTCCCAAAGAGAGGCTCGGTAATTCTTGCGAAAACTCGCGAATCCTTCCGGGTGGAAAGAAATATTTGCGAATTCCTCCTAAAGGAAACTCACGAATTATCGCAAAATGTGACTCGGGAATTCTCCCGAAAATAGATTCGCGCGACCCTGAAAGCCCCGTCGAGGCGTCGAAGTCGCCGACTCGCGGTCGAGGGATCGAATCCCGCCGGGATCTATTTCCTTTTTTTTTTTTTTCTTCTAAACATATTAAGCGACGATATGAAACGGTGGAAAAGACTCTTCCTATCGTTCGACTAGGAAGAGAAAGTTTCCGGGCCCGAGAGGGACACTTGGAAGCACGTAAGGTGTGCATCCGCGTGTCCTCCTGCGTATTTACATGGGCACCTGTTGTACCGTCTCGTAATATCCTAGTTACGTCTCGGTGAATTTCTCCTACGCGGAATGTGGGCAGAAAATCTCGAGAACCTGTTATAAAACCAAGATAAAAAAAAAAAAGAACGAAGGCATCGATCGCGATCCAGGAATCGATATCGATCGATCGGCCACTTCGACGAGGGTCGAGCGGAGCTTTCCAGGGTATGAGCGATCAACGAGTGAAAATAAAAGTAGTCAACAACGGCGTCGATGACGACAACGGCAATAAATAATCGAATGGAATTAACGTTCGATCAGCGGGGGGAGGGACCCCCCGCGAGGTGTAGTCTTCTCGCGGATATGTTTATTAACGCGTATCATAGATATGTATGTCTCTCTCACTCCTCTCTACGCCACTCGTTCTCTCTTGCTCACTCTCACTCTCTCTCTTCCCCTTTCTCTCCCTCTCTCTTCAAAAGTTACGCTCATAGTAACCTAACACACGCCTCGTCGCGATGCAGCCGCGACGTTACATATACTATATTGTTAAACACAACGGATCTGCAAATCAGCCGATGCACCGATAGATAACGACCGCTCGTTCCTGCATTATCAGTAATCTATACCCCACCGAGCGCGTCGCGACGCCGATATGCCTAATAAAATACACATCCTAAGGAACGTCGCTCCTCGTTGCCCCCTCCGCCGCGTTCAAGGGAAGAACGTTCGACATACGTATAAAAGCTTCTCGGTAGTCCTCTAACATCGATGTGCATATATACCGGATGCATTTTCCCGGCTAAAGAAGGCGTCGCCTACCGCGACGCCGTCCCGAAAGGTCGGCATTGTCTCTCACCTGGTGCCGGAGGAGAGCGCCGAGGAAGCGTCGCGACGCGGTGACGAGGTTACGGGATGCGAGTCTGCTGGCCAGTCCCAAAATTTCGTATCGACGAGTTAATTCCTCGAGTAATAATTACACGATCGTATAAACGGATGATTGCGTTATCAGGTAAGAACGAGCCTAGAGTTACGTATTGCTGGGGGGTCTTCAAGGTACATGGGGACCATTTTCAAATCGAGCGTTCCCTGTCCTCGAAGGATCGTTGTATCTCGGACGCTCGTAACGGGGAGCGGTATCTACCAGTCGGACTCTTGTCAACGAGGCCTCCTCCCGCGATGGCCAGGACCTCGTCGAAGGACCTCGGGAATAGGATTTCGGAACCGGTCGACGGGCCCCTCGGTGCATCGGCTGGCCACTGGCATAGTTCTCTCGCAAGCGGTTGATAGACTCTAAATATACATCTCCAAAACAAAATGACTAGGCCTAACAGGCGGTGCAGTGCCGGTACATGGGAACGCGTGTATGTATAGTCTCGTATACGTACGGGTGCTCGTAAGCGGGACCTGGTGGGCAGGGATGAGCGATTCCGGCGTCAAGGGTGGGACCGATAAAAGGGACAACGTCGGCGATGCTTCGGATGGACTCTCTGCATCGATCCCGATTTCCTCCCACGGGAACCTGGAATCCACGATGGGCGCTCATCCCTCTCCTTGGGAGGGGGCAGGGAGGGGGCAGGATCCGGGAGAGGAGCAAGGAGAGGAGGTGCACCGCACCACCGCACTTATTGTTGGTCACAGCATCCGATCACGGAACCAGGGATTAGAACGCGGTGCTGGATTGCGGGTGGCGGGCGACGCCGGGGCCGACGCCTCCTGGCCCGCCGCCACCTCCGCCCCCGCCGCCGTCTTCGGCCAATCCGATCCTGCATCCAGGGTCCATGTCGTAGTCCGGCTCGAGCGCGGGATTGACTCGTCCGTTCGACTCGTCCTTGCTGCCGTAGAGCCTGCCGACTCCACCCGCCAGGACGGCCATCTGCTCCCCTTCCGCGGGGTCCGGGCCCACCCTCTCGACGTCCTCCGGGATGTTCACCACGCACCGGAAGACGTCGTACCCGGGCGCCAGGCTCCCGCTCAGGAAGGCTCGCTGCGTCCCGTAGGACACCCCCACCAGCGTCACCAGCGACATCAGCATCGCCATCGTCCTGAACGGGAACTGCTGGAGATCGTTCGCCTCGTCGTACCCTGGATAGTGTATCAGCGCCGGCAACCCCATCAGCGGCTCCCCTCCGCTCACCCGCACCAGGAACGCGATTATGTACGCCGACAGGCTGCCGTACGTGTTGCAGTACTCCTTGAAGTGCACCACCATCAGCAGCTGCGGGAACAGGATCACGTAGACCAGGTCCGAGCACATCGACCACAGGCCGTAGATCGATGGGATCGTCAACGCCATCACCGTGCTCAGGACACCCACCACCCCGATGCCCACGCGCATCACCCAGATGATCTCCATCTCCGACGCCTGGACAGGGACAGAAATGCCACCCGGGGTTTTCAATCGGTGCACTTCTCTAAGACGAGGATCGAGAAATCTGCTCGATCCTACGGGAACTTCTTGTGACGCGATGATGCGTTATTTTCGGAAACGTTGCAAATCCGCATATATTTTTATTCCAATATTAATCATTTATGTTATCGACGAGTAACGCTCCAACCGATTTAAGGCGATATGAAAGTCGCGTCAAAGAGGTCTCGTTTATAAAGTTTCAATTTATCGAAACTTCTTTGTACGCGCTTTTTTTTTAATTTGTATAAAATTGGAGATGTCGCTTCCAACGCGAATGGAAATTCATCGAGGACCGATTTCGGGTATAAGGAAACTCGTAATTTCTTTTCACTCACCCTCTGACGGAAGATCAACTTGTAGACGTTCCTGGCGAACATGGAGCTGGCTGAGAGGATGCTGCTGTCCGCTGAGGACATCACCGCCGCCGAGACCGCCCCGAGGCCGAAGAACGACACGAAGTCCGGGGTGAGATACTGCAGGACCATCGGCAGGATCATGCTCGTCTCGGTATCGGTCTTGGGAAAGCTGCCGTACCCCGTCTCGTTCCAATCTGCAACACCAAGGCATCCCCTCGGTTAGGTTTTTCACCCCCGACTTGGACGGATCGATCCCCACGTGCAGCCCGAGGGGCACGTCTTCGCCACCGCGGGTATTTACGTTGCAGCACGCACCCCCTTGCAAAGGGATACCCACGTGGCGGGATCCCACGCCATTATCCCGGGGTCGTTTCACCCCTGGGCTCATTGTAAATTGTAAATACCACCAGAACCCTAAACCAACCCTCGCCGGTCTCGCCGGACGCCGAAACGAGTCAAGTAGCTCGCATCCCTTTGTACCATTGACGAGTGCATCGGGTTCCATCAGCCCATACCATGATCTATGAGGTATCGGAAGGATCAAAGGACTCTTATAATTTGCAAATGGTGAACGAAATGAACAAATGTAACCATGAGATTATGTGGAAAAAAAATTAATTATAGGCGAAGGGATGTTACGAGGCTTCGATGGGGATGTTTGAGGGGAGGAACTGGGGACACTTGCCTGTTGCTTTAGCGATGGCGCCGATAAGGACTGGAGGAATGGCCATGAGGATGCACCCAAAGGCAGCCACGTAGCTCAGGAGCTGAGCCCTCCCGGCAGTTTTCGATGAAAGCACCCTCTGGAAGTACACCTGCCAAGGTATGCCCCCGAAAATCAGGAGCAGTTCGTTGTCAATGTACCGCCAAATGTCCTTAGACTCCACCGCGCCGATCCAGTCGACGTCCATCGAGCTCAGGGGCTTCACTTGGGGGTGGGCCCAGGCGAAGGGGATGCACATCCACTGTAATCAGACATTAAGTGCCTTTCGGTTAATCTAGAATTTATTCCTGGTTAATTTCTTAACATCCGAATTAACGCGCTTTGTTGTCTGCTCAATGATCTAGGGACGATAGGGATGGATAAGTCATACAAAGTCGAACAACGAGTCTTATCAACCGATCGAGGGCGGCGGAGAGGAATCGATCATCCGGAGATAAGCTATCGAGAACGCGTGCGCCTTTGTCGACCCCGGAAAGGAACCTGAAAGGTCCTCTTGAAAGGAACAACTCGAACGGCTTCCCTTTTTACGGGGGATCCGAAAGGACGACGGGTCGGGGAATTATCAACTTAAACGCAGGATCCACTCGAGATCACCTATAAATTACCGTCCATACGGTACGGGAAAGGACTTCGTAGGTCGACCAAAGGACGACGTCAGGACTTATCGACCCCACGAATCTTACGTGCCATCGAATACACGTAGCTTCGACCCTTAATAACTAATCGATGCTTCCAAGGCTCGGTCTCGAATTTATATCGAACGCGCGAGCGTGACGTTCGGGAGGCCGAGATAGGAAGGATCCGATAAGTCGATAAAGCGGTTATCGGACAAATTGTAAATGAAAAAAAAAAAAAAACCTGCGTCTGGGTGGCCGAAGACACGACTTTGATCTACATTGGCTCGCTAGTTAGGGTCGACGAGCGTCCGGGTTCTCCGGAACAATCGAGTTTTGACAATGTGAATGCCTGGGGAGGCGGAACCCTAGTATCGATTGTCCCACGTCACGTCCTCGTGCATGACCGGCTCGAAATTGTCCTCGGTACCTCGCTCAAAGGCTCCCCCCCTCGACTTATCCCCTTTCCTATCTATTTCCATTTAAGGACCGATATCCCGAGGATTAAAATCGACATTGGTTTTCCAACGAGGTGAAGCGACCCCGAGGAGTCCTCCCGTCCCGGGTCCCCGTCGTCAGCGCTCACCAGTCCAATGAAGATGCAGAAGAGCTGGATGACGTCGGTGTAGGCGACGGAGTAGAGGCCGCCGAAGAGGGTGTAGAAGATGGCGATGCAGGCGCTAAAGATGACGGAGGTGCCTTGTTCCATGTCGATGATAACCGCTAGGGTGGCCCCCAAGGCCGCCAGGATCCCGGCGGCCCAGAAGACCTCCCCGCAGAGCGCAGGAAGAAAGAGCAGCCCTCCCATTCGTTCACCAAACGCATCCTGAAGTGGATCCAACATCGTGATGTACCCCTGCTGACGCATCTTGTTGGCGAAGAATATGCCACCTGGGGACAGAGCCAAAGGTGAGTCCTGGATCCAGGATTGAGATCAAGAGGAAAAAAATAATTCGGTGGAACGGTAGAGAGGGAAAGTACCGAACACCAGGCTGAGGGCATACCCGAAGGGAGCCTGGCACCAGACCAGTCCCTTCGTGTAGATGGCCTCCGCGGTGCCGTTGATGTATCCTCCGCCCACCCAGGTGGCCGTCATGGTGAAGATGCCGACGAAGAGGCCGATCGACCTGCCGGCCAGCATCACCTCCTCCTCGGAATCGTTCCCGGCCTCCTTCTTCCGGGCCGCCCATATCCCCACGCCGAGGATCAGGATGTAGAAGAGGACGATCGAGATCACTCCGGCGATGTTGATCATCTTCGGCGCGGATAGGTCCACCGGAGTTAGATCGAGCTGCCGGAGGTGAAGGTCCGCGAGGTTCGGGATGCGGTCTGGCTTGAGGGAGGTTGGAAACCTTCAAAGGAACGGAGATATTCTTCGAGGTGCTCGTTGGAGAGAGGGGCTATTCATCGTTATCAATGATATTCAATGATTTTCAATGATTGCCTTTGGATTTCACATGATAAACGACAATGCGATTCGGTAACGAGTGACAAGAGTAAAATCGTGGCAACGTTTCGGCGATTTCCAATAATCTTCAATAATCTCCAATAATTTCCCATAATTTCCAATTATTTCCAATAATCTCCAATAATTTGCAATAATTTCCAGGTGATTGCGAGCATTGAAATCCATGATTTCCTGAGCGAATAACCCCTCGCGTTGGAGGATGTCGTCGCGTTTTCGCGGTTCGGGAAGATCAGCACCTCTGGAGACCCCGCGGGGTGCAGTCGCGCAGCAACGGGGGACAACCTCAGACAGGTACGGGCGGCATGACCTGGTGACGGTCGGTCCGGACGGTCAGCAACAACGGCGGACTGGGGTTCCGGGGGCAGCAGTCGCCCCACCGGAGCGAGGTCTTCTGGGAGGGGCTATTCCTTGTTCTAAACGCGAGGCCGCCCATGGGCGCTGATGGCCATCGATTTTCACCCAACTTCCTGGTACCGCTGCTGCTGCTGCTGACGGGGTCCTTCCTGCGCGGCTCTGCCGGTAGGTGCCTCGTCTTCGGCCTCCTGGAACAACGCGTGACCTCACCAGGACTGACATTCGACGGATCAAAATTACCGACTAAGGATGAAAAAACCAATCCTAGATTCAATTAACAATTAACCTCGTTCCCTGGAATTAAATCTCAATACGGAGAGGAGGAAAAAAAAATTTCCTCCTTACGATACGAAAAAGGGTCGAAAGAAGCGCAGAGAATTTCCTGCTCTCATTGTATGTAAAAATACGAGACGTCTACAGAGAATTTACTCTAAAGGTGGACCTCACTCCCGGAAATGTTTCATAAATCCAGAGATCATTTTGAGGAGAAAATCTCAACTATTAATTTACTCTAGATTTGGACCTCGTTCCCGATAACGGAATGTAGATATCTAAGGACGGATCGTATTTCTCAATTTTTCTCAAATAATCGCCCAGAGATGTCGGGAAGAACGACGAGGACGTCTTTCCTCCCCTCAGAAAAAAAAAAGTTCTATCGTACCAAAAAAATATATTTTGAATTCGATTTTCAGCCAATTATTCTTTGGCTTAACAAAATGTTCTTTTAGTACCATATAAAGAATTCTCTGGTTCATCTCTTTTTTTTTCAGCGCCACGAAACGCGAATATTTTAAATCGAGTTTTAGAATTGTATAGGACGGAAAAGGGAGAAAACCTCAGAGGACAGACTACTCACGGGGGTTGAGGGACGTCGAGGGATGAGTCCGCGTCCCGGCCCGAAACTTTCGTCCTGGAGGTCGCAGGAGCGGGTCGGGTCGCACCGGTCGGGCTCTTCGCGCTCTCGGGGTCGCGACCGGGTCTCGGGGAGCGACGGGTCTCTCGACGTCCCTTCACGTCGCGGCGGCCTCCCCTTACTGAGGCACCCTCGGTCGGCTCTCGGTCCGTAGGCCGTCTACGGGCCGCGAGCACCCCCGAGGAGAAGGGAAGCGATATTGATTCGGCCCCCGTGACGTCACTGCCGCCACGGGGTGCGTCCCACCACCTCCTGGACTCTTCCGAGAGGGGCGTGGACTGTGGGATCGCGAGTCTGCGCCCTGAGGACGGCGGCACCCCGGCCAAGACCCCGACGAGACTCCGACGGAGACCTGGCTCGAAATCGAGATCTCGAAAAACGAGGAAAAAGAAGGAAACGTAGTAACCGGAGAACGAAAGTGTCGAAAATAGATAGAGAAAATCGAAGAAAAATGGAGACAATGGAGAAAATAGCGAAAACAGAGAGATATGAAAAATGGGAAAAATCGTACCCCCTACGCGGAAATGATCGACGGAGACCCGTGGGCGGGGAAAGAGGTGGGTCAAAGGTGAATCGCGAAAGGATCATGGTCGCCTACGTGGTCGGGGTGTGTAGTACCGCCACCCCCTTTGCGTGACCATCTCCCCTTCCTCGTCGAGGTCGTGCACCGCGCTGGGACTCTAGCTACGAGAGCTCGCCCCTGTTTACGGCTTTCCTGCCGGGTACCGGTAAACGGCATGTCAATGACGATACGAGTCTATCGGCACTGCGTCGATTCGCCATGCGAAGTCGCGGTGGCGGAACTCTCCCGCTCCCGCTTGGGTTCATTCAGCAGGGTTGGCGTTCTCCACTCCCAGCGGGCGTACCGTAAAACGTCATCACGCGGTCAACGTGACCTCCCCACCGTGGAGAACGTAGCGTAAGGCCGATTAACGGCGATAACCGGTGCCAAGGGGGTGGCCGACCAGCGGCCAAGGGGTGGCCATGGACGCGAAAAGGGCAGGTGGGTCACAGATGAACCGCGAAGCGATCGCGCTCGGAGAAGTCACCTCTTGCGCCGACCACTCGATACCACTTGACCCACTCCTTGCGATCCACCAGGGGTCCCGCCTTTTCAGACCTCGCGGACTCGACGGTCTTTCCCTTGGTTGGACGCTCCTACGACTACCCTGGAACTCGACATCGGATTCTACCCGGGCAGAATGGAGTTTCACCTCCTAAAGGATCATCTCTGATCTTACACACTCACACGAGACAATTTAATCGGTCCTATTTCGCTGTACAATCTTGTATTTAGATTATAGACGGATCCGTAGATTTGTTCTTTCATCGCAATGACGCTTTACGTGAACAGGTACCCTGAAGAAGACTGTGGGAGGTACTATTGGTAGCACACCTTGCACTTGGCGCGAGTCTGGTCCTCGCAGATTCCTTTCACCTGGAATAAAGAGGACGCGTTGATCAGGGGAATTTATCGAACTTTGTATCGAGAGATGGAGATGAGAGGGCGATTATTTATGTATTTAGAAGAGGAGGACGTGCTCCCGGTGGAGAGCGCGTTGAACCTGAAACGCGAGCCACCGGGGAGGCTCGCCGGGGTCTGCATCGACCCCAAAGCGTCGCGTGTCAAAGAGTCAAGCACGAGTTGGGATTGAAAATTTGCCACGTGTCAGGTGAAACGGCAAGGACAATGAGCACGTGCGTAAAACGAGAGCGTTGCTCGTTAGCGGGGGTAGATTCCCGTGACCGAGAGGTTTTCCGCACCGGCCACGCGACTGGTTTCCGGTGACCCAGGGGTGCCTCGTACTCGAGGATACCATTGATCCGAGCAGGTCCTTTCTCAATGCCGTGACTCTTTGACTCGACGCGATTACCTCGGATAATTTACAAAACCCGGTGGATTTCTCTCTTCTAGGTACCTTGTTGAAGTGCAGGTCGGGTGGACAGGCCACCTCTCGAGCGACCTTGTTCTCGTCACATGAAATATACAACAGGCAGTCCAAGGGATGCTGCAGGGCGACGTTGCTCTCGGTACACTTCGGGATCTCGCACTCTTTACTGAGGAACCCATCGGGGTATCCTCCTGGTGGAGGAGCAGGTGGTGCGGCGTTAACCGCGATCACGACCAAGAAGAGAGAAACCACCAGGAACTTCATGTTTGTAGAATTTCCCTCCTAAAATATAAACGAGATTTAAAATCTTGACATTAACCAGGCCGCCATGGACGTCACGACCCCGTGTGAAGCCATGCGGTTGTTAACGAGTTTAGCACCTGGTTCCCTTGAACGGCGACCAAGGTTATCGCTACTTGCTGTCGATACCGGCTCGTTCTTGGGAAACAAGTTTCTCGATGGAATCGCTAGGTTTACCTGAATCCGGGAAGATGCTAGCTGGACGGTCCAAGAGGTAATGACGTCTTCGGGCACTCCTCCTCATTTATAGGACTTGCCACTCCCCAGGACACTCGTGCGAAGGACTACGTGTTACCAACTCGAGAATCTGCCGGTTTGGAGAATTGAAAAACAAAATATTCGTCGGTTGGACTCTTAATCACGACTTCCGTCAGGCGGTTTTGTTCCTTTTCATCGGAGTAGCTGCTGCCTCGAGGGTCAGGCAGAATTAGGATTATTTCTTGCGTTACGTAAAATTTAAGGCGGTACATCATCGATGATCTCAGTGGAGGCCTTGCCCATTTTTTGTTTATTGAAATACACGGTCTTGGGGAAATCCTTGCACGTTATCAAGTGCAGTATTCAATTAATCCGCTAGACTTCCTTGTTTTCGAGAATTTAGGTATCGGCCACGTGGAAAGACGTCGAGAGAGAATGTCTAGCGAGAATTGTGGAGCGAGAATGTCGAACCCAAAAGACAGGGTCTCGAGGCTCGATACGGTTTTTCGGGCAGCCTAGGTCTAGTAGCTCGATGTCACCCGATCCTCGACGACCCTCTTCAGCAGGAAGTGGTTCTCGATAGCGAATTGGGTCACGAGTCACGACCTCCGTTTGGCATTGCGACCTCGTCTTCTGCGGCCTCCTCAAAAGGTAGCATCTCCACTTAATTACTCGCCAGCTTACGGCCACGAGACGTGGAACCTCCAGAAGCCCCCAACGAACAAATCGACGGACCAGCTTCGAGGCTATTAACTAACATTTAACTATCCGCCATTTTCAGACCCCCTATTTTTCCTCGTGGTCCTCAGTGATCGTGAATGCGAAATGTCCGAGCTGCAGACCTGAAATATTAGGGTGTCCCATAAGTTTCTTCCATTTTTTTATACGAAATAAATACACGGGGCGGAAGGAACTTATGGGACACCCTAATATATCTATTGAGATTAAGACTGGTTCGATGATGAACCTAAATTTAACTGCTCTTTTTGCCCTACGACGTTCTTTCCGATATTACACATTATTACGTGGGCTGCTTCAAAAAACGGTAGCTCAACTTTCAGACCCGTCATTCCGGAATTTCTGGTTTGGCTTTCGACCTCTAAAACAACTACGCATTCGCCTAATTCGGACTCTTTTTTCACAGCTAATTGTTGGGACGCTCTTCGCCCCCGGTCTGGTGCCGCCATCTTTGAAGAATACTTGGTAATTAAAGCTATAGAAACTTTTAGAAATTTCTCAGATAAATAACGGTTCGAGGCGTGATTTATGGTTACAGAATTATGAATGACAAAGTTCTGGAATGGTTGTTGCAAACAAATATTCCAAAATATTTACCCGAGTCGGTAAGAACGAGAAATGCAATATGGCTGCCGTTCGCTCTTCGCCGTCGGTAAAGCTTTCCCCAGTAGTTACTCGTTGTGCTGTCTGATGGCATCACGGTCACGGCCGGTTCGGTCGCTATACAATTCTAAAAAGAACGATTCGGTCAATAGAGAACAATCTCCACGTGTAAATGGAATTATCCGACATTATGCTGCCAGCAGCAGACTGTTGTGGAATTAAATTTTTTACCGTTTCAGTTTGAATTTTTATCCCGGGGTATTGCCTACGTCTTTAGAGTCTAACAACTTACAAGTGACTGAATACAACAAAGGGGAAGTGGCGTCGCCATTTTAGAAAGGCAGAGTCTTTTTGTTTTCTTGTATCAGATGGAGCGCGTACAAAAATGCTCGATAATCGATCTCGAGGGCACCACCTCTTTCCACGGAAAAACATTTGTGAACCACATCAAGTTCGTTACTGCTGATCATGTTCAACATGTTCCGAACGGACAAGGCTTTTATGAGCCTGATTTTCGAAGTCGTCCCAATGTTCTCTTTATCATAGTCCTGGAACATTCGATGTTGATAAATTAAAACTCAGGGTGAAATTCCGAAATGCACATATGAGGACCTAACCATAAAAACAAAAAAACTTCAAAATTTTTTAAATGGTAATTTTTTTTTTATATTTTTGAGGTCATATTCGTCATTAATGGATCAAAATATATAGCTATCCGAAGTTTCAAATTAATGGAAGGTATGCGCTTTTCGGAGCTTTACCCAAAATTCATTTTAAACTTAAAAAATAACGTACTATTACGAACCTTAAATAGTTCTTCAAGATTATGATTCCTTATTGTACTAAGCTTGTCCATGGCTTGAGCAAGCAGTCGCCTTTCGTCAAAGTTCAAAAATGTTCTTGGGCATGCTTCCGAGGGCACATGCTGAATAGGCACCAACAATGGTGCCCTTTCTAGAGATCCTGTTGCTACCGCCTCTTCGACAACCTCTGCGAACCTTGCGTACTCAACGTACTCAGGCCTAAGGATTAATTTTTATAAGATTTAGAAATAAATTAAAATAATAGCGTGCAGCAAGTAGCTTCATTTTTCGCATGTTAGGCAAAGCAGCTAAAATAAGGATTCGAGGAAAATGAAACCTCAGAGGAACTTGGAATACTCTCATGATGGTAGCTACTTCGTTGCAAGTGAGATTGCATCTCAGCTGGTCGAGGCCTCGAATAAAGTCGGCTTTTTTAATTACAAGTTCTTTATGGACATCGAAAGGCTGCATGAATTCGTTAACCTACAAGACACCAACAGAATGAGAGTAAAATCGGCTTAAATAAAAATTACAATGGGATTGCAGTACCTTAATTCTTTCACGTACTACTTTTGCTTTGACCTTCGCCAATACCATCACAATGTTCGTCTCGTCTTCAGTGGGCTCCGGTGTTGGCTTTTCAGCGTTGACTTTCTGCATTTTTTGCAACACTTCGTTATAAAGCGGTTCAGCGACGGGCAGCGCTTCCAATTCTTCAAGGAACCAAGAATAATTGAACCCCATATCGTCGATGTACCTTTGCTCCAAGGCGGAGATTTCCTCTTGAGAAAGAAGTATAGCGGCTGTTGTAAGAACTTTCCTCACCTGAGTTCTCGTTACATACCCGTAATTATGTCTGTAAAGAATAACAGGTAACGCTTAAAAAATATACTTAGAAGCTTAGGTCATTTTGTTGCTTAGAATCTTGCATCGCACTTATCGTAGTCCTTGAAAAATTGCTCCAGCATAATCCCTCTGTTATTTATTCGAAATCGGATTTGCTGTAAAGTATCTTCGCATAATTCCCGGATACTCTTCGGTGCACAGTGCCAGTCTTTCTGGCCTGGTCGTTTCAAATTCGCAACTTCCGGCGATGGGCAGTCAACCTTTAAATTCGGATACTTCTCCAATTCTTTCACCGTAAATACTGAAATCGGAGAGAATATGGTATATAAAATATCGCGTAAAAATATGTATATAAATAAATAAATATTAATACCGTGATCTATGTCGTCCTCAAAAGTCCTCCAACATACCCGATCCAAGTCGTTAGGATCCGTGTAAAGAGCGATCAACTCATCGATTTCATTCTCGTCTAAATATAGTTTCCCTAAGGACGAAATTAGAAGAGCGTCCAATCCTCTGCGAAAATTGGGAATTGTTACACGTCCTGAATTTAGTAGATCGAAATCCTGAAAATGATATCCAAAGTCGTATTCAAAGACTATCGCTCATCCAGATATTTTATATACGGTGTAACGGCGAGACCCTCGATTAACCTTAAAGAACTCGTGAATACGAATGCGATTTTCAAGTATATGTCTCTGGATTCGATGGATGACCTCCATGAGAGACATCGGTTCTTTTGGTTTATCCATTACCGGATGAAAGACCGTTTGGTTGCCAAAAATGGACGCGGCCGATTTCTTACAGATCTCCGGCCTTGGGAGCTTCGGTAATTCAGCTGTGATTATTTTGCCAGGGCACTGATCCAACAGATCCTGAAGGTACCATATTCGTTTACAGCTTGAAGCATCGAACTGACATCGATTAAGAAAAAATTAAATCATAAGACTATTACTCCTCCAAGGCTCGTCATTCCATGCGTATCCAAATAATCCTGAACGTCCTCGATGGCTTTCACAAAAGCCACGTAGTTTACCGTGTATCCATCCTTACCGAATCTCTTGACAAGTAAACAAAATTCCTCCGCAGCTAAGATAATTCCCAGGAATGTTAAAACTCTGCCGAAATGACCGATGGTCACCGTGCCGGCATTCTTCGCTATCTGAAAGCATTTTACTGCATTTTATGACTAAGGACCATTTTGAAAATTAGACACGGTGGACTTTGTGGAAGGTCCATCGACGCCCTCACCAACTCGTAGTCCTGGAAGTACGGCTTTAGTACGATTTTCCTCTTGTTGGCGAGAATCGCTATCTGCGTGATAATTAAGGACAGCTTTCTGTGCTCCGTCGTGCTCAGGCGATTCACGTGTAACGGGTCTTCCCGTTCTAAGCCCGTGACGAGCGGCTTGTTCCTGCCGAACTCGGGAACTAAAATCAATTGTGTTACTCTCTAGCCTACCTGAGCGAGGCTTGTTTCTTTCAATTTATGAGTTTAAGCCATCCAGGTAAAATCCTAGGTACAAGAGAGCAGGGATTGCTTGACCAGGGATGCGCTGGAATAACTAAAATCGATAAAGCGGAGGAAAATGGCTGCATTTCCAGGTATTTTATTGCACCCTCGAGGGCCGACATTCGTCGCGCTGTACTTGACGGCACATTTGTAATAAATTGTCGGTCATACCGCTATCGTGGATCACTTCGCAGAATTGCGAATACAGAATGCGGCCATCCTGGATGCGAAAGTAACTGGCGAGGTCGCAGATCTCTTCGTCCGACAAGCCAATCGGCCCTCGCAAGGGCCCCGCCAAGATTGAGACGAACTTCGACTCTGGATTTAAATCAGAATTTATTCACTACTGCAAGGAAAATGAGAAAGTTTGTCGAACTGACGTTTAGTCTGGGAAAGTCAGGGAATACGAGGAACCCGTGTAATTTGGAAATTTCCACGGGTTCAAGTGAACCTTAGCTTTGTACCTGAGACGAGGCAGTCGCCGTTAGGGTCTAAGGGTTTATAATAGTCCCACAGGTTAAGGCCCACTCGGCATACAGCGGCACGGATCTTGTTGCAGCTGCGCCAGACATCTTGCAGTTTCAGCTTCTACAAACCGTACGACTCGAATTATGACAAGAAACTATCAAGGTCGAGGTGAGCGGTTACCTTTGTTTCCGGCATTTTGACTATCCCAATCAGGTCTACCTCCCCGTAGTACTTTCACTTGTAGTTAGATTTATCGAGCTAAAAAACATAAAATTTTTTTAACCGCTACCAGGCGTCTACTCGGCCAATCATCATACTTGAACTTATCCAGGTTATCCAGAAACAGAGGCGAGTGAAGGATGCATTCAAGTCCCTTCGAATATCGTTTAATTTCAGAGCATTGCACTCGTGAATTCACGCCATGCATTTCGATGTTAAATACGAGATGTATATTCCAACATCGAAGAGAATAGAGGATAGCAAAAAGCGAAACGCGTCGAGTGCGTCGCTCTACATAGGCAGATGCGCGAACCTCTCGGCATATATATGTGTATTGTATATATGTAAGCTCCTGGAAAAGAACATATACTCTAAAAAGGTGCCTCCTGGCGTCTCCCATATGGCGACGGGACGCTGCGTGCTGGAGGGCGAACGTCCTCCTTTGGCTACCCTTGACTAGATATTATTAACTTTCCCCGGTATCATGGGGTGGATGGGACGAAAAAGGAACATCCGTTTTCTTGTCAAGTTCGGTTCACACTCGTGACGGCCCTGCAAGAATAATGTGGGTATTGAAATATTCCGGGCATTCTTTTTAATAGGAATTTAAGGTAAATACTGGTAAAAGCTGAAGCCATTCGACGAGGGAAACATGCAGGAAACGCGCGGGATACGGTCACGCTCTATCGATCTCCTGGGAAGCGGCGCGAAGCTCGTGCGTATGCGCGTTGAAGGTGACGCTACAAGATGGCGGCTGCTCTTCCGCGCTCCGATTGGTCGGCCATCTTCGACTCCCCGTTTGCCGGCCGGACTTTGCCGATCCCGCTTCCCGCTTATAGGATTTACCCAGTCGAGCTCGACTCATGCGCTACCCCCACTCTACCCGCTCGGAGACCGACGGTCTCTTACTGACTCACCGTCCTCATGAGTGGGACGAAGATGCTCATATAGAAAAAGGAGACAATGATACTAGACTCGGTTCCCTCCATTCCAACATGGCGGATGGATAGGTAATCTCGAGAGCGAAGCGAATCCCGTTTCCCGCTTCCGCTTGGCCGCGTTCCAATCCCGTGGCAGGGGATCGGAGAAACATCGATTCAAGAATTGAACAGTAGCGTCTCTATTTCACGGTACCCGGTTAACCTCAAAAAATTCCAGAATCTCGTTTGTCACCTTCGAAAACGTGACGAGAGAGAGGGGAATAATGAAATCGACGTCAGATTCGATAATTAAAAGTGAAGGGATTATGACGCAGGAGTCAAGATAAATAGCAGGGGGCGAAAAATTAAAGTTTCTCTTCTTTTTTGTCGTGGGTGAAAAGTTTTGTTTGAGAGGGGCGGACGATTTCGAGAGTACGGGCTCGGGTTGATCGACGCTGATTGGTCGAACGGGTCGGAGTGGGGGTAGCGTCGTTTCTTCCCATGATGCATCGCGGCAAAGTCGGGAAACGGAACGAGTGGGATCGGGCTTTCTCCCTTCTCCATTCGGCAGCCGAGCAATACGGACGCGGAGTGTCTGTCGACTCGTGAAGTGTTAAGAAGTACTGAGTCTGTTTAAATTCGGAGAAGCGCGGTGTTTTCAGTGTTCGTAACCGTAGGAAACTAGACAGATATTCAAATATGGCCGATCAGGAGAACAAGGACTTCAGCGAGGACGTGGCCGACCAAAGCTTCGAGCAGAACGGTGAGGCCGAAAACGGCGGCGGCGACGCCGCGGAAAATGGCCAGGAGTCTCAGGAAGAAAGGTAACATTTTGGCAATTTCCCCATTTCCCTTATCGTCGTCGATACGTTCCTCGATCGACTCGACGTCGACGGTATTCCTTATCGATCCCGTGGGAACTACCTTCCTTAAAAAGATTAACAAGTCATTCCCGTACGTGCCGACATTACGGCAAGCGCGAGCACAAAATGGCGGACGACAGAATTTAACGAATCGGGGAAAGTCGAATAGTAATCCACTCGCATCTGCGCGAGGCGCGAGCCATCCGATGAGAAATTTAGCCCATTCGAATGGGCTAGTTGATTCGATTCGATGGACGCACGGGTTTTCTTAATGCGGTTTTCTGGGAAGTATGGCAAGTTAAAAAAACTTCAGTGGAGACGCCGGCCGTAGGCCCGGGGCGGATGCGCCATTAGACGCGCCCACGCACAAGGAGAGGAAACATGGCGGGGCTTCTTCGCGCTTTGCTTGGACCCGATCTCCCTTTGTTGCGAACTTCGTTTCGAGTCGAGCGCATTATCGCGCATTGAAGCGCCTACCAGTGTACATGTTTACTAAATAGTAGTACTCGGTTGTATTTGATAATGAGTAAATGGCCGTCCTATGTGATGCGCAATTGATCGTCTCTTCGCACCATTTTGGCGATTTAATGCAGTAGTATGTAAGACTTATTTTCGCTCGCTTACAGCGCGGCATTCTCTTTTGACTTTCCCTTTTCAGCGTAACGGTGTCTCGAGCTGGATGATTTCCCTGCCGGCCAGTTTATCGAAAATGTCGATTTATCGGCGCACGGTCCTTGTAAATATTTCTGTAATATTACAATTTTTGACATCGTATTATCGTACCAGCGTCTTGGATCAAAAGCCTAAAAAACATTGCCATTTTTTATACCCTTACAGCCTTCGGATTCCGACTTATATCTTGATCTAGTTTGGGGTATCTTTTGATGATACGGGTAAGCATTATTAGATTAAACCGTAGAGGTACGATTGCATTCTGGGGGAAAGTGGCTGCAACCTTCGAATTGATCGTGGATTTCGTTCAAGAGCTGGTTACCGGTTAAATTTTTTAATCGTATGCGCAATGTATATCCAAGAGAATAACCCGTTGATATTCAAAATTTAGAGGGTTGCTCCCTCTTACCCTAAACGAAGATACGTACGTAGAGAAATGCGACTCGACTATAAAAGGTGACGAAATTTAAAAGTGGCCTAAGGCCGGCGCTCCACTGCCTAGTGTACCTACCTGAAAGAAAAATCAATTTTTTTTATTGCACGTTATCTATTGAGAAATTAATATAAGGTAACCATGTGCGTAATATTGATAAATGATTAGTTATAACTTTGTATTGTGCTTTTGTTACGAGGTATGCCTTTATCTCCAAAGTTTGTAACTTTGTGTACACACCCAATTTCCATTCCTGCCTAATTAATTATATCTTTAAACCTGTAATTAATAAAGAGAATTGTAATTTTTCCGGCGATCAAATTTTGTATACACAGATGTTAATTGTAATGATGTTTTTATAGAGTGTAAACTTTCGATTGCATTTTTGGCCAGCCAAGAGTCTTCTTCGTTCTTTCATTGCAGCCGAATTGTGGTTGGTCAATTGTCATTCACGATTGACGATACATACGCTTACCTGGGATCTGTGAACCAAACCGTGAAGCCTAACGAAACGAATGAATTCTGAGTCTGAATTATTGCGAGAAGTCAACGTCGAGTTCAAGTTCTTCATGTTCCATCACGGCACAAGCACTGGAAGTCGAGTCAATTGCGTCAGATCAATCAGAGTCTCGCACAGACATACACTTGCCTGCTGGGTCACGCGTAGAGTAAATTCCAATCCGATGTCAATGCAGTTTGGGCGTGACCAAAGCACAGAGTCACTAGGGCCAAAGCGAACATCTCCGATTGGTCGGAATGCCATTAACCCAGTTTATGTGGCTTGGTCTGCAGGTGGCAAACGACCCGGTGCAAATATGGCGGGCGGCACGCAACAGGCTAACCGTGACCCGACCAACAACTGAGTACCGGCGAGAGACTGGTGCCCACGGTATTTATCACCAGCCCTAAACGATATGTGAAAAGATCAATATCTCAGTACAGATAACAACCACTACATTGACAGAAAATGAAAAAACGTATCGCACCTCAGCTCGTTATTCGAATACGAAAGTGACAAAAGTATATTATGACTCGAAATGATAAAGATAACTTGCCGATGACCGCACATGTACCAGAGAGAGAGATATATTTATATATACATATATATAAAAAAAACTGTGTCCAGTCCTACACGCCCATATGAATATTGTCAAATGACGTGATGCGACCATCTTTAACGTATAATGTACAAACAATTTTTTTAGCTTTCTAATAGAGTTGCAGTCTATCTACCCATTGCCATTTCTTTGGGCCAATCAGCAGTCAATCCATCTTGGAAATAGTTAAATCTTACCTCCTTTAGGCGCAGCTGAATGTCAACTGGAGTTGTAACTCTTGCTCGGGTTTGCGCAAACGTCATGAAAGTTTTGCTCTCTTGGTGCACCATATTCCATGCATAATTTTTTTTTTTCCAAGTTTTTTCCCCCTAAGTGACAAGTATAGGCGCGCCTGAATTTTGTATCGTCTCTGTGTGCAAGGCAGCCTTCTTGTTGTGGTTGTACCCTTTAGTTTTGGTCTTTTATTCCTTGAAGAGATGCGAGTACCTTTGTTTAAAAACTCTTACCTTTGTTAGGGAATTCATCTGCTTATTCTAGGAACGGTATGATATCACTAATAACTACTAGAACTAGAACCACTACTGTTAGCCGTGACATATCTTTGCTTCTTCAAAATTTCAAACTAGGTAGTAATCACGGGTTGCTTCTGTACTAACACTAGTTTATGTCATAATATATATAAATCTAGAAATACATATATATATATTTATTTATACAAAGAGCCGTAATAAAAGTACACGTACATATCTCTTAATAAAATTCCTTTCCAAATCATGCTGATATGTCATCGAGAAATTGTCCAGTACCCCTTTTCCAAATACATGATTTTCTTACATCCGTTACTTTTACTCAGTGTTAAATTTTACTATTTTTAACAGCAGTTCTAGATTTTTCCAGGGGTCAGGTCAAAGTCCTTTTTCAAACTGAGAAATGGAATCAATTCTTATCAAGTCAAATGTTTGCACCATCCTTAGATCGTAATACTAAAAATAGCAAAAAATACCTAGTAAACTAAACTCGTTCGATTACTTTGCAGGTCGGCCGGAGGTAACCAGGAGTCTCTGAATGATAGGTACTTTCAATTTTTTCATTATTATTTACTTTGAATATTTCATTTTTTCGGCGCGGTTGATGTTGCTCAGAGCAATCGTCGATCAGTCATACTTCAGCAAAAGTTACATATCCAGGTGGTAGCCAGCAACAATCACTTTTTTGGACATCTTTTTTTTTTCCATTAAGAAAGAGGGATATATTCGTTTCACAGTACCAGCAATTTACTGTTTTTATTACAGATACCATTTCTTTTAGTCAGCTCCAGAGAAATTTGTGAATTTGCAGACATCACAAACCTGATTAAAAAAAAAGAAAGAAAGAAAGAAATTCATGTTTCAATGACAAATTAGCTGAATGAAATTAAATTACTTAATAGCGATGAAAGGCTTAAGAAACCTGGAATCCGTATCTTTGGTTTATTGTAATTTCAATATTTCTATTGGTTTCTACTCTTTACAGGAAATTGTTTGTTGGGGGCCTTAGCTGGGAAACCACAGATAGTGAGTATATTTTTTTTCCTACTTTCCCTGTTTTACTTTTTATTTATTTTATTTGCTGATGACTTTGAATATTTGCAATGCGTTTTAAAGACCAAATTATGATGAATTTAACTTAGGACACCTTCGGATAACAGAATGGCACTGTTGCATGAGATAAATAGAAATTTGCTGAAATTTACTTCTTTACGCTATCTAGAAAGATGGTACCTTAAGAGCGTGAATTAATAATGGCTGATATTTTTTCAGAGGAGCTGAGGGATCATTTTGGTACATACGGTGATATAGAAAGTATCAATGTCAAGACAGATTCCATTACTGGAAGATCACGAGGTTTTGCATTTATCGTTTTCGCCAAGGCGGAATCACTCGATAAGGTAATTCTACAATGTTTCTGGTTGAAATCAGTACACGTTTAATTCACTTTCGAATACACTCAACATGATGACACAAATCAAAAGTCAGTTCTGCTACTGAGTATAAATGACGAGTTTTTACACCTGATTAACTTGCAATTGTAAAAAGGGGTCTTTTGCATGGTAGGAAAAAGTAAATCAATTGTTAACTCTCTGGCCTATACGTTACAGATTATGGCTGCTGGTGATCACGTTATTAATAATAAGAAAGTCGACCCGAAGAAAGCTAAGGCTCGACATGGCAAAATATTCGTTGGAGGGCTATCGACAGAGTTGTCTGACGATGACATTAAAAATTTCTTCTCTCAGTTTGGAACGGTAAGCAATATTTAGTACTTGCCTTTAGCAATTACCTCATATCGTGACCGAATGATGACATTACTTTCCATGGATTTACAGATAGTCGACGTTGAAATGCCGTTTGACAAGACAAAGAACCAGAGGAAAGGGTTCTGCTTCATTACTTTTGAATCAGAACAGGTTGTGAACGAGCTCCTTAAAACCTCGAAACAAACGATTAACGGCAAAGAGGTACGTAAACGATCCAAAAATATTCAGTGCTCTTGTTTTTTTTTTCTTTTTTTTCCCCCCTCGGCAATGGAACTTCATAAATTCCCTGGAGGATTTAGCGGCGTTTTTTCGGACCTGGGGACGCAGACGAAGTGACGAGACGGTTTCTTTCCCTTAGGTCGACGTGAAAAAGGCAACGCCGAAGCCGGACGGAATGGGTGGCATGCGAGGTGGTGCTGGTGGTCGAGGTGGACGCGGAGGTCGCGGAGGACGAGGTCGAGGATTTGGCGGCCAAGGCGGCTGGGGCCAAGGGGGTTACGGAGGTGGTTATGGACAAGGAGGCTATGGAGGCGGTTACGACGGTTACGGAGCCGCCGGATACGACTACTATGGTGGCGGATACGGCGGCTACGGAGGGTACGACTACAGCGGATACGGTAATTCCATTGACTATTACTAGAAGGAAGGTTGCTAGCCGGCCGTCTATCTTGCCGCGCTCCCTATCGACTGTCTATTTTTTTACGATCGACGATAGCGAGCTCGCTATCGAGCACCGACAGGGATGGGCACACTTCCGTTCGGCAAATACTTCTCAAGTTATTGGAAACTTTGATTTATCATCAAACCGCATCTAGCTCAAGAAATTGTTACTTAATTAACATAACACTCATAAATGTTCCGGGGTCATAAGAACACACGAATTAGAGAAATAGCAGTTCAGGCGTCCGCATCTGAAACTTCAAGTAAACGTCAATTTAGACCTTGAAATTGTCGGGAGTCCTATTTAACACATACTATGCCAAATCAACCGTCGAATAAGTCATCGTTCAGACAAATGGCCGCAATGGTAGCGAACGTGTTGATAACGAGGTCACGTAAATGAAAAAGAGAAAAAAAAGAAAAAAGAAATTAAAAGAAACCTCCATTCCTTGTGAAAGTACGTCAATGAGATTTCCGAAGCTTGACCCCTTATAGCTTTGTCCAGGGTGTCGTAACTATTATAATTTTGCTCTCATTAAGTGCCACGGGATATCCGAGTAATCGTTAACCTCGTGGCATCGCGCTTCGAGGTTTCAATCGGTCGTCAAAGTATTGATCGAATAATAAGTATGCCCGTCTCTGGTCACCGAGTACTCGGCAGACGATTTCGATCGGTGCCCCGCGTACCCTCGAATCTCGACCATGATACATCTCGCGGTTACGGCACGCAACGCGACTCGACGGTATCAATAGTCATTCAGATTATAAATCGAGTAGGCTCGCGAAAGAAAGACCTTGAAGATCGGTGGAAGAGCTCGGTCGTCCGTACGCTGTACCGCGCGTAGCCCTCGTAGCCGAAGCCCAAGCAAGACGCGCTCTCAAACGTCTTAACGCACGATCGTCTGCCTCGTAATACGGAGAGAAAGTGAGAGAGAGGGGGAGAGAAAGAGAGAGAAAGAGAGTTACCTCGCAGTACGGAAATGGCGATATATTCGGTTGTAATACCTGGTGTATGTACGCCACCGTACTTATACGGTGAAAGATGTGTGATATTAATCGTAACTTGTGACGCCGTGGCGTGAGTGCTGGTTTGCGGGCGGATCAGCCTCGACGGTTCGCACTAGTTGCGAGTTCGACTGTTGTATATCCCGTGTATATATATATACATACAGACACGCATATGTATATATATACGCCTAGATTTTTGTTCCTTTGCCCGAGCATATCCTCGTCGAGGATTTGCTTGTAAGTCATCTCGATGACGACGCGTTGACGACCTCCTCTCAAGGTTCGGTCCGTTTTGCAACTCGCCGAACTGTAAACCAGCGACTCTCCAGTTTACAGCTAGAGTCTAGTAAATCGGATTATGTTCCTTCTCCGATATATATATATATATATTTATTTATATATATTTGCCGACTCCCTTGGTCTCGAGAGCATGCGTCGACGAGGTCGTGTGTCCACGTTGTTCTTACTTGTCGTTCTGTCCCCGATTGGTCGTCTCTCCAGGAAAAGGAAAGAAAGAGAGAGAAAAAAAAAAAGAGAGAAAACGCTCGCCTCTGGAAAGAACATAATCCGAGCACCGAGTTCCGAAACTTCCACACGAGGGAAACGATTTGCCGATATTAAGACCTGTGGGAATCACCCGGTCGACACGACACGATCAATTTGTCGAGACGAATCGACGTGCATGTTTGTCGATCGGGAGATTTTTTCTTTTTCTTTTTTAGGCTCCTTTTTGGGAAATCGTTTCGAATTTTTTTCGTACAGAGCGTAGGCCGTCGTTACGCTGTGACCAACTAACCTTACCTTACCTAACCAACCGATTTGCTAAGTTATATTCTTTGATGCCTTGTTAATATTTAACTAACATACTTATATCTACGCAAATGAGTATATAACGTATTAACGACATACGAGGAAAGAAAAAAGAAAGATATGGAGCAGCATATAATATGTAACAGTGAAAGTGTGAAGGCAGACGGAACGTTCGCGAAAGTGTGAGACACCCACGTCGAGTCTTCTTCTGTACTTTGCTAGTATTTTCCACATGTTTATTGGGATCTGAATGCTTTTCTAAGTTTGCCGTGAGGCCACTCATGTTGGATTTGCATAGTGTAACGCAGATGTAAGCGGACACTTTTTGATGCATCATGGATTGCTGGATCTTTTTTGATCGGCCCTGCATCCAGGCCGGAGTTTTACCTTTGTTTCTTTTCTTCTTCTTTTTTTTTTTTGTATTACGATCGTTCGCTGTTTAAGTCGTTTTAGACGACAGTAACTACATTTCATACGTTCACTGATTGTTGTCAGTGAATTGGTGGAATTTAATTGCCTGCAGATATACTTTTTTTTTTCTTCTTTACATTTCTCATAATGCCTTAAATTCTACGGACTCGCTGACTTCAATAGCACGCAGTCACTGTAACATAATTATATATGGATCGAAAATGTGTGGAGAACATTAAAGCAAAGATGTACAGAACAATACGGCGTATGAAATGGTATATACCCTATGATCCTGCTTTAGAGTCCTGCCATGATCCTATTTAAAGCATGTTTTATTTATTTATTTCCTCGTTTTTACATTATATCAAATTCCTTTGGGCGCCCTCAAAAACACGCTTTGGCAGTTACTGGATCAACTCAAGGAATGAAAGCCATAGAAATTTGTGGCAAAGGTGATATGAAATCTTATTTATCGAATTCAGCATGTTTTTGAGATGGCCTCCTGAAATTATGGTTAAATTCAGGTACCTTCGGATCAGCACTGGGGAAAAAAAAACCCGCACTAGTTGTGCTTTCCTTTTTAACCGAGTTTGTATTTCCCGGGGGCTACATCCGTAAAGGACGTTACTGTCACGAGGTATAAAGAACGTAGCCGTTGTGTTTATTTTTTTTTATCTAATATCAGGTTGCATCTATCCTCGGTTTCCTGTAGTGGAGGTGTTCCGAAATCGTCGTACCCAAAGAAACGTGGCTGAAATCTGGATGGTTCCGGGAACAAGTTTCCACGATTTATAGAAACTTCATCACGTAGAGCAGTCATCGGCTTCGATCGATCCAGGCTTCAACCACGTGATGTGCGTAAAGGTCTTTATCTGTGAACGCATAAATTGTATTTGCCCCACAAGACCGCACACACGACCTTCCTCGTCGACCCTTCCTAACACACGAAGGATCCCGTAGCGAAAATACGCTGGTAGATCCGAAGATGACTGTCCCAGGGGGACACGTCGTGCATGCTCGTCCTCCCTCCGACCTCGTCGTCGACGTACCGCCGAGGGTTCGGCGCAGGGAAATATGAGGTGTAGGTCAAGCTAATCCCGATACCACTTTTGATCCCTTGGTGAACCTACAAATTAATATATATCTTACTAAAACTGTATGTACATAAGAGGAAGACCACGAGTGGAACGACGAACGACACGACCGTGGCGGAAGAACGGCTACTCCTCTCGCGGAGGAGAGCCCTTAAGCGGAACTCGTTCGAAAGTTGCAGGACCTCGTCGACCGCGAGAGAAAAAGAGAGACACGCTCTCGTGCTCAGGAGAACTCGGGAGGAACACGATTTATGTCTCTCTACGTGGCCAGCTGTGGTTACAATGCCGACGACCAGTTGTAAGGCGCGGGATACAAGTGCGATTGTATGCTTGAGAGGACGATGAGAGCGGTCTAGAAGTAAAGCCTAGATGCGCCAGTGGTTATAAGTCGATACTGACCCCATTGTCTCTTATACCGTGTGTTCCATGAAACGCAGACGGCTACGGCTATGGCAGTGGTAGTTACGATGGTGGCTACAGTGGTGGGCGCGGTGGTGCACGCGGTAAAGGTACGCATTAGCGTTCCTTCTCTCTCTCTATTGTTCTTCATGTTCTCCTGGTTCCGTTCAACTATTCTCTCTTTTTTTTTAATTTATTTTTTGTTTTTGCTCCCGTTACATTCACTTCTCTTTCTGTCCATGTCCCTAGACTAGATACCGTTGATTACCCGGGTTAAAGCCATGTAAGACCCGCCAGGGTCGCCCTGGTGGTGTCCAAGCCAATGTGCCTCTTCATGGTCCACCCGATCCACTCTCCTGTGTTCTGAAATCTCTTCCCTAGAATGTACCCATGACTTCTCGCATTTTTTTTTTTTTTTTTTTAATCTACGTCGACTCTTTCAACCTGGCGACATCCACGATGAGGGGTACCTTGGTATATTTCACGATTCACTAAAGTCAAACACCGGGTCTTTAAGAGTCAACGTACCGTTAAGTTAAGCTTCTTTCTCTTGGCACTTAATCCTACTTCTTGTCTGTTCTAGCATCCTCCTCACATTCTGCCATCTCCCGTCCTCGATGATTCCCTTGATCTTTGTATCTCTAAGCTTTTGTTCGTTCTACTTTTTGATATGCCTGTGAACGAGTAAACGGCGCGGCATGAGTGTATGTTCGGTGATGATAAGAGTGCACTATGTGAGAGCTCGAGTTAGTTACCTGGAAATATGATTTTAAACAGGCTTTTGTTACCTGTGACGTGAGTCAGTCGGTGCGCACGATGACTCACGTACTCGATTTAAGACTGCACGCGTCTCTCACCGTATGACTGTGGTATCGGAAAAAGGCTCGTAAGATCTTATCATGTACTCATTCATTCTTCTGTTTCTTGAATCATTGGATCCAAGGAGTATAGGAGTTGGGAACGAACTTGGAAATTTCGGCATGCAGTCTTCAATCGGTCTGTTGGCACTGGCAGACTAGCTTTTGCATGTTACTCGAGCCACTTAATTGTTATTGGGCTCGCTATCAATTGTTATAAGACAATTGCTATCAAGTGACGTGTATATATATATTTTTTTTTTGTATACCGTTCACTGTTCTTTCTAAGGAACGTTATTACAATTTTTCATTTTTATTCGCGATCGTGTTGTGCATGCCCACTTGAAGTTGAAATTCAGTGCAGTCGAATTTTTGACTTTGGATTTTTTCTTTCAACACTAACTCTTCTTCGGAATGGTGACATGTCTGCGACGTTCACGAAACTGCTCTACGCGTTCTAATCGATGTAGCGATTTTTTTTTTTTTCGATCGCTTCAGCTTCTTCAAACCTAGATAATTATTCGTGCTTGTTAATCCGGTGGTGGAGAAAAACGAGCGTTTTCTTTCACAATTGCCGAGGATTTATGTCGACCCGTTTGTACTCTGATTCTGTATACTTAGTCTCTGGCATTGTTTCAATTCACCTCGGTTCTTGCAGCTGTCACCTCACTGACATTTCTGGCCATTTTACCGGGGAATAATCTGTTTCTCCTTGCTATGATCACCGGTACCTTTTTGTTTCCACTCTGCAGGGGTTCGAGATAAGACCGATAATATATGTCTGTTGCAATCCAAGTCTCCGCCAGGTCTCGACGTGGGACTTCTTTCAGGAGTTGGCTTGTGTTTCGGTACCTCAGGCAACAACGATTGCCTAGAGATGTTTCTTAAGGGAAAATTATATATATATATATAAAAAAAGAAACAAAAATAAGAGAGACGTAGTGAATTGGAACGCAGCCTACAGCTTACTACCTTAGCCTGTAGCCTCTACGTAGAAATCCCGGAATATAGAGTCTTGCAATATCATACCGGCCTTCTGTTGTATATCTTTATTCTCGATTGTTTCAATCCTTATTTAGTTAATCCGTAGATGAGTGTGCGTGTGGTAGATTTTACGAGCCAACTTAACCGTCGTGGTGTGTATCGCAGGCCTCACAGTCTCTATTTATTTATTTTTTTCGTTGAAAAAAAAAATCAGCTTCGGAAGGTCCTTACAACCCTTTTACGTGGTTTCGACCTTATTCCTTAAGATTAACGAGACTCGAGATATCAATGTCTTGGAATAGTTTGTAAATTCTCAAAGTATACGTTGCACCACTTACTTGCGTTGCGCGAGAGTTAGCTCGAGATACGGTGAGGCCTGATAACGTCCTAAACTTGGTTTAAAGACTGTAAGATCACTCGAGGAAAACGAAGGTGGAGTCGTCCCGATGTGTGGACTAACAGTGCGCAATGGGTGTGTTTCAGGAGGCTCAGGCTACGGCGGCAAGCAGCGAGGTGGTGGTCGCCAGAACCAAAGGCACCAACCCTATTAAAAAATGGGATTCCTTAATTGCGACCGCAATGCAATTTGCATTGTAACCGCTGGTGAGTGCCCTTAATCTTCCTACCGCTTGATTACTAGCGATGACGATCGAACGATGCGCGCACGAGATACCCGACAAAACTAAAAATTAAAATATGCCAAGGAAAAAGAAAAAAATGATCGATCGGTGCCAATTTATATTATTCTCGATTCGAGCCCAAAACGTTTGATTACCATCGCTACTGATTATAAGTACCCTTCCTAATGTCGGTCTTCAGAGAAATTTCAATGTTCCACCAGGATGGGTGAATATACATGAATTTTCGGTCCTTCGATCCATTGTCATATGGTGCTGGGAACTTTCAAGAGTTAGATATGTACTCCTTATCCCTGTGCACTTAGTGTCTCCTATTTGTTTGTTTGATTTTGTTTTTTTCTTTCCCTTGCACGTTTTTACCTAATTTACTTCGCCCACTTTTGGACGACGGTTGATTAACGTGTACTTAATGCTTTCTTTTTCCAGGTTTCCCGTCCTATAACAAATCTCATAACTCGTCAAATCATCATTCCATTAAACCTCCTCACCCTCAGCAAGAACTACGACAACGCAGACAACTGCCGCAGAGCAAACTCAGTCATCGAGATTCACAAGAAATGCAGTAACAGTTTCTCATATTGCGTTCGATCGATCCATCCGTATTAACACGACGGAAGACGTGTTCGTATACACATATATTATATATATATATATATATACAAGCATATATATATGATTCGTTACTTCCTTTGATCTTTTGTTTTACCTTTTGTACAAACAAATTTATTTCTCACATTGTCTATATTAATTTCTGCGTCACTTTGCGCACTTGCATCCAATTTCTGGTAATTGCTCTGCAGTATTATACGGGATCGATAGTGGGGTGTGTCGCTCCGTAAGTAGGAAGGTAGCGCCGAAAACGTAGCATAAAAGATATGTATGCAACATACAAATTCACTATCTCGACATACGGATTAAGCCTTCAAACGAAATTGCATGTACTTACACGAGTATATTGTACTAGCTGTACGATGAATTTATTTCCTTCTTTGCCATTAAGAAAGCGATAATGTTTTTGTTACTCATTGGCACTCAAGCAACCGCTGTACAAAGCCCAGCATTCGGCTTTTCTTGCCCGTTTGGCTATTACACCGTTTTTTTTGTTTTTTTTTTTTCGGTTTCGGCTAATCGGTAAGATTAGAAGGAAACAAAATTGTCCATTCGACCAAGTCTGATTTAAATGCGTCATACGATCAAGCGAGACCTGACTTTGAACTGTACTCGATTATCTTCGACTTTTCCTTGTACATTGCAATTAATTAGGCCATCGCATTATGTTGCAAAACCTGATCGTAATTTCGTTCGAAGACTTAATCCTTTCGTCGAGGTGGGTGACGCTTCCTTTGCCCATCTTTCATGTTGCGTTTTCGATGTTACCTTCGAATTTAATACGAAGCAATTGCGAGAGTGGCTCGTGTAATATATGGGGCGAGTTATCAGGAAATTGCAACGTAGTGCGACGGGTTAATTAACCGATCACAATGAACTAGGAAAACAAAAGGTAGAAGAAAGTGAATTAAATATGAAATCAGTAAGGGGGAAACCCAAATTATCTCGCTCAACCGTAAGAACGCGGTTGGAGTCGACCGTGTCGAACATTTTATCAATAAGGTTATTTTAATTTTGTCTGTAATTAAAGAGGAAGAACTACTATTTATACTGTAGAAAAGTAAGCAGGCAATGTACTTTTTACACGAATATGTTTAAACGCAAAACGTTGTTTATAATGATTACGTGAGACATAAAGAGGGGTAAGAAGATTATTGCTTCCTTATTGGTAAGAAACATAGAATTAAATAAATTCATTTTGTGTACATAATGCATATACTTGTGCTCGTGTTTAATTCTGAATGAAACCTATAAAGATGTAGATCTCATGACTCAATCCGTTGCGTGTGTAAGAATATATTTAGTGTAAAAATTCTGTGTATGAAGTGGGAACGGTGATATGATAGTCCCTTTTCTTTCCATTTTGTCAATCAAAAGATACTGCCATTTTTTGATTCGCAACATTAACGCGACTACCGATTTTCTTTCTTCCCTTAGACTTCACATCATCGTAGATTATGTATTCGTGATCGTTCGAGAGTTAGCAAGTCATTATTTTTGTAATTTTACAGTGAGCGTGTCCGATAGTTGACTCACGAGATTTTCAAGTATTCAAATTATATATATGTGATATCCAAAATTGTTACACTTTTTTTTTTTTTACAAAATCCCTACTTCCAAGTTGAGTTTTTTTAGATTCCATTTTAACATCACAAACTAAACCGACTGAAATCTACTCATACACATTTGTTGAACCTATCATACGTTACTTTAATACTCCTTTTATACTAGTCCTTTCAATTGAATCATGAGTTTTAGGCAGTAGCGCGAAACTCGAATAACCACAAATGTTAAAACGTGTTTGTCCAGAAAGAACCGAACCTCTGTAAACCCTTAAAAATGAAAAAAGATGCAATAAAAGTTGACTTTGTAATCTTGCGCTCATACTTTACGCACTCGAATTAATCGCAAGCCGAGATATACACGTTCGGTCGAAGAACAATATACAGGTAAACCAATTAATCTGTACTTCCATATATATTTTTATTCAATTAGGCTTACGCGAAAATAGGAACTCGTTCCTATCGCCATCTCGCGGAGGGTATACGAACCGCGTTCACAGATCTACTAAAAATGGCGGATACTCTCCCGCGAGACCAATCCATCGCAGAGATCAGTCTGTCCATCGTCGTCGACGCCCCCTCTCGTCATGTAAATCACGCTTAAGATTAGTTGAACGGCCGCCCGCTAGGAAGTGCCGTCCGTCGGCTCGTGTTGAACTTCGTCCGGAGTCGCTCCTCTTCGTGCGGCCGGCGTTCCAGAGATGAGTTGGGAGATTGCTTATGGGCAGAATCGTGCGATCGCATCCTGTGCTGCCCTCTAGTTTCGTACGTTAGCTTTCACCGTTCTTTGCCCCCAAGAGCGGCGCAACAAATTTCTGACAGAGATGAGTTGGGAGACTGCTCACGGGCAGGATCGTGCGATCGCATCCTGTGCTGCCCTCTGGTTTCGTACGTTAGCTTTCACCGTTTTTTGCCCCCAAGGGCGGCGCAACGAATTTCTATTAGGGGGCCTATAATATAGGGGGCAAAAAACGGTGAAAGCTAACGTACGAAACCAGAGGGCAGCACAGGATGCGATCACACGATCCTGCCCGTGAGCAGTCTCCCAACTCATCTCTGCGGCGCTCAGTGCAGGATCTCTGCATGTGCTAACACCACGGTGCTCGAGGACCCATACACCGGACTGTTTTTATAATTAACGTTATCGCAAACTGTTGTCGGCCGAGCGCGAGTCCCCGTTTCCGCAGCTTCTCACATCACCGGCAACGACGCCTGTCACGTCAGGCGAGACGGCACGAGCGGGTGAGTGGACGAGCGAAGGTGATCGGCCGCGGCGACGTTGAATCGAGCACAACTCTCAGCGCGCGGATCGCCCACGGGGGGAAACGCGACGAGGCCGCATCGCGAGCTCGCCCGACGCGCCGTTGGAATAGACGCCAGGCCGCAAGGCCGTCGCGCGGAGAACGAGGCCCACGAGGTCGACCCAAGCCGGGCGGTGCGCGTTTCGCGCTGCCGCGTCCGGCGGAGAAAATTCGCCATGCTTGCCCGGCGACCCCCCTCGCCCTCGCGCTCGTTCTCTGGCGCTCCCTCGGGCTCCGCACGACGCGTCTCGCCGCTATTCCGCCGGCTGGTCGCGAAACGCGGCGCTCGTTGCTTGTCCGTCCAGGTTCCTGTCCCGAAGCGGTCGCGACTCTTTCCGGGCGCGCGCGCGCGCCCGTCCTCGCGGGGCCTCCGGAAACGCGAGGACGGGCCCACCTCGAGATCGGAACTTCGCCCTCTGCGAGCCGCTTTCCGGAGCCTGGCCGATTTCTTTGTGCGCTTAACCTCTGTCGACGTCAGGGCGAGGGCCACGTAATGCCGCCGAGGATGGGCTCGCCCGATTTTTCCCGACTTCCTGTTCGACGAGCACATGTCCGATCCGCACGAAATGCGCGCAATTTTGGGTGGCTTCATTTCAAAAACCTAACGAGATATCGGTTACTCGAGTTGGGTTGATCTGACCGACATTGCGGGATTACTGGGTTATTTACTGGGATGACGGATCGTTATTGGGAATTTGGCCGAAATTTAAACCCCATTTTGTGGCCCTGGAATCTTTGGGGTTATGTAGCGGTGTTCTTTGTTTCAGATTATTGCCTTAGTAATTTTTTAATCCTACCGTATCGAGCATCGTCGTGCCGACGATCGAAGGAATAAAGACGGTACGAGCTCAGGGGTGACTCTGTCGAACGTGGCACGGATTCAGGTACAATTCAAGGAGAGGTGGAAGAGTTAAGCTGTCCGAAAGGAGATGGTCATGGATACAGCGCCTTCGCCACAAAGTGTCGGTCGTGAGTTCGTCCGACAGTACTATACTCTGCTCAATCAAGCGCCGTTACATCTGCACAGGTAATCGTAAAGGCGTTTATTTATCTTTTATTTTTTATATGGAGTAATCGGGAGGTTTTACATTATGTGCTTCTTTCTTGCAGGTTTTACAACCAACAGTCTTCCTTTGTCCATGGAGGACTCGATGCGTCCAGCAAGGAGATGAACCCTGTTATTGGCCAGAAACAAATTCACCAGAAGATTCAACAGTTAAACTTTCGTGACTGTCATGCCAAAATCACTCAGGTGGATTCTCAGGCTACACTTGGAGATGGCGTCGTCGTACAGGTAACGGCGTGGATTTATGGAACATTTTTGACATTAATTTGTTTGAATATGTGAACTCTTGCTTACTTTAATATATATATTCTAGGTGACAGGAGAGTTGTCCAATGCTGGCGAACCAATGCGTCGCTTTACACAAACGTTCGTATTGGGAGCCCAGGCACCCAAGAAGTACTATGTGCATAATGACATCTTCCGCTATCAGGACATGGTTTTTCCGGACGAGGAAGAGGGTTGTGTGGAAGGGGTAAAAGGAGGTGTCGGTGAAAATACTGAGCGAGAAGGCGAGGAAGGTGGTCGTTCCGAACCCGAAGAGGATCAGGAACAAAATCAGGGGCAAACACATTTAACCGTCACTGCCATCGAACAGCAAGTTCAACCGCCTCTCCTTCCCACTCAGCAAGCACCATTACAGCAAGTTTGTTACGCGCCACAACCACAGCAGCAAGTGAGCAAAATTGACCAATAACGTGTTTTTAAACAGGATGTGGAGATTCTGACCCGATACGACAAATTTCCAGGTACACCCAGTGATGCAGCCAGTGACCATCAATGGTTCCATTCACGAAGAGGCACCATTGATCGCTCAACAGCCGCTGCAACAACCGCAACAGCAGGCACCTCCAGCAACGGCACCTCTGCAACCGCAGCACCCACCACATTCGCACACGTACATTCCCGAACCCGTTCCCCAGGAACAATTTCCTCAGGAATCGGACACATCGGCCGAACAGCAGCAGCAGGCGGAAGAGGAACCACAGGTGCAGGTCGAAGAGTCTCACGAGCAGCCGGAAGCGGAAACATTTCCAGCCACGGCACCCGAACCAGAGCCGGAACATCCAGTGGCGGCTGCAACCACCAACAGCAGCGGTCCTAAGACTTACGCGAACCTGGTTAAATCTTTCTCGAATGCTGCTGGAGCTACCAGCCCACAAGCGCCAAAACTATCCATGTCTCCGGTAAATTGAGCAATGAAAAATAGAATGAAACCGTCGATCGGCTGAGGAAATTCACGAATCGATGAGCATCGTCTTTGGGCATACTTTTCACGTTTCCGTTATTATCATTCTCAGCCGCCAATGTCGAATTTGCGACTAGACGAAAGATCTTCGATGCATCCAAGCAGCAGCGGTCCCTCACTTTCCACTCCAGGTGGTATGTCGTCCGGGATGCCACCGGTCCACAGAGTCGGTGGAAGCCAACCACCGCAACATCAGCATCCACAACAGCAAAGACCTACGAGGGGTGGTCCGGTACAACGAGGTACGGGGAGGGGTCCACCACGACCTCCCTTTTCTTCCGATGATAATGGCTGGGGTGATTATAGCTTACAACCTATATAATTATTCCCTTCTGCTGCCTCCTTCTGTCCTCGGTCGCATATTATCTTCTTCGACGTTAACTCATTACTACGTGAACTTAACTAACAAGTGCCTCCTGTAATGACGCATCGGGTGTAAACGCATTCGCTCACCTAATTCACAGACGGCGACCGTCGCGGAAGACTCAACCAGTACAGCGACGCGCAACAACTCTTCCTGGGCAATCTGCCGCACAAAGCGTCGGAACCGGAGCTTCGGAAGATGTTCGAGAGGTTCGGCAATGTTGTCGAGCTGCGCATCTTCAGCAAGCAGACCGAGAGAGGCAAGGGTGTTCTGGGATCGAACAACACGAGAGTACCCAATTACGGTTTCATCACATTCGAGGACCATCAGGTCGTCACGAAGATTCTGGACTCCGGGGTGAGCGTCGCTCGATTTTATTGATAACGTTCCCAACTTTCGCGCTAACGTCTCGCGATTCCTCTTCTAGCCGTTCTACTTCCCCGACGACAATGGCCAGCAACAGAAGCTGAACGTGGAGAAGAAGATCAGACCTAGGATCTCGATGGACGGGGGAAGATCGGCAACCGGGGATGGTAACATGCGGCCCATGAGTGGACAGCAGCAACAGCAACGTGGTCCAGGTACGCGTAGGTCAGGCCGTAGACCGGACACGTGAAGCGAGCCTCTGCAGCAAGTGTTTCAAGAATCCTGTAACACACGTATACATTTGTAATACATACACACACATGGGACAGACATCCGTGTCCATTAAGTAGACCCGGATGGCGAAGCAAATGCAGAGTTCTTGCTCTATGCGTCTTTGGTGTGCGGCCTAACCGAAGTTTCTCACTCTTTTCCGGTGTAACGAGTATCCTTGGGTACGCGATCGCTCGATCGTTTCCCTTGGCACTGTCGTTGGTATCATTGATAAGGTCGTAATTAACTAACAGGTGGCCCAGGAGGAGTGATTCGAGGTGGACATCAGGGAGCGAGAGGTGGCCGCGGCGGATTCTCACGCGGAGGAGACGGCGGCAGAGGCGGCGGCGGTATGAGGCAGCCTGGCACCCCGAACAACCCCGGGTACCAGAACCGTCGCTGACCATTTCGACGACGCGAGCGTCGTCCCCAGCCCCTCCGTCGTCACAGCAACGAGCCAGTGGTATACTTTCCCGACACGAGGCCGACCACCGTCTCGGACGTCGCTCGCCGCCGACGTTTCCGCATAACCTCGCAGGCGACCTTCGTCATGGCACCGAAGAGCGCATCCCAGATCCCGCGGCGCTTCCGCTCGAACTCGAATGCGAAACTCTACGCGCAGCAGACGTCCCTGGTGTCGTTAGGGCGGCCCCAGGTCCGCACCCCCGAGAAGGCTCGAACCTACCTTAAGCAGCGTTCGCACGTCCTCGACACCGTTAACGCGATCCTCTACCTGAAGACCCTACTTCCGCAGCACCGATCCTTTTGATTCGAGTTCGACCGTTGTTTCCGTCTCTTTTTTTCTTTTTTTCCTTTTATTCTCTTCTTTTTTTTTCGACTTTCTTATACCCCGCCGCCAAGCGACGTCTGAGACTTTATTAAACATCGTTCGTACGTAAACACAGGACAAATACATACATACGCTCAGGATGCGCGCAGCAGGGCGAGTCGTTCGCGGAATGAGGCGCGATTTCGTGACGTCGGTACGTGGATCAGGAAAATTGGCTATCGCGAGGAGTTCGTAGGCGAGGCCAGGGCTCGCTTTCTTCTGCGCCGTTGACGGAACTTCTCCGTTTAGGCTCGGGGGTATCGGTCGTGGCGAAATGTGTACACGATGGGTCCCCGCGGCGAGCATGGCTACTCGAAGATTGGCTATTGCGACGGCGATGTCGCCGGGTCGGTAGTTTGCCGAAGTAGGACGACTGGTTCTTAGGACGCACGTAGACGGGACACGGCTGAGTCGATTTCCTCGCCTTTCTTTCCTTTTGTTTTTAATTTCTCTTTTATATTGCTTCTGTACTTTTGTCGATAGAGCAACGCTCGGTATCCCTCGAGATAGGGAGCTAGTAGGAGGGGGCGAGCCCGCCGATATATATTTTACATTGTGATCTCGTTCCTTGACCGTTTACGGGTTAACGGAAAGGACTCGTCCACGCGACAGGGTGTCCCGATGTCGCGCCTCCGTTTCCGTTTCTTCTTTTAGTCTTATTTCCCTCGCGAATTGCGGAAAGACTCGCGGCGCGAATGCTCGGGCCTCCTTGTGGCCATCTTCTCTTTCTCCCTCTCTCGCGGTGACGTCTTTTGCTACGGACATATCTTGGACTCTCGCCTGATCGGCCTGCCGTGTACTACTATCCACTAATTGCGCTACTTAGACACCTTCGACTCGCAAGGTAGACACTTAGGCTCGTGGCGAAGCCGAGGTTCGCAGTGTTCGACGAGACCGCCACGTGATGTATATCCATATGTATATCGAGAGGAAGGAAATGAAAAAAGACAGGTTTTAGTCCGATCTTCAGGGTGAGACCTCGAAGACGATCTCGCCGTTCCCGGTACCCGCTCGTTTGCGTCTCGACTCGACTCGACTCCCATTTCGCCATTTTGTTTTTCCCTCTTTCTGGGTCGGACGTTTCCCTTGGCTTGTGATATGTGGAGGGCTGACCCTTCTCGTGACTTCCGCAACCTGGACTGGATTAACGTATCGTTATAAGACTACTTTACAGCAGCGAGTTGTGCACAAATCTCTCTGGCAATCGCAGATCTCGTACTTGGCCATACTTTAGTGAGTTTATCGTGTAGAAAGGAGACCCCACCGTGGTGATCTGTTGCTGACCGGAACTCTCTCTCCGTCAAACGAGTCGATCCCCTCGTCGAGTTCTCCGACCGACTAGAGTCCTTCCTTCGCGCTTTCACGCGGTTCAGCGTGAAGAGCGACACCGTGTATTTAACTATTATTAGGCTACTAGGTAACGCTTAACTTTAAAGCTCTCGAAATCGGGGGACGCATTCTCTCCCTCGTTCGGTCCTCGACATGGACCGAAACCGCCGGAGAGCACCCGAGAGTTCTGCGAGTGTCAGAGTCGACGTTTAACCGGCTTGTCCGGGTGATTATCACCCTGCGAAATGAAAACTCAGAGCTAATCTAACCGTCGTTCCCGATTTCCGAGCGATATATCCTGATAAGCAAAATCGTCGTCCACGAGTCTGGAAACCCGCGACCGTAGCGTCTAGATCGAGGAACCGCCTCGGGAAATGTTTTACACTGCGACGTGAATGTGAAATCGGGCCGAACCTTTGATTTATAAATAATTTAAGAAGGTGTCACGAGGAAATCTCCGTCGGGCACGACTTGGACCTTCTAACTCGCTGAGGGAATGTTTTTCTGGGCCGACTCGACGAATGTGCATTACTTCGGACGTCGATTAAAAATCAATTTGAAGCAACATTCGTCCGTCGATCGAATATCCTCTAATCTCGCGCCCGCTAAGCGAGTTAATTGCGAGTCTTCTCAGTCTAATCCTACAAGTGTAACTCCGATCTTAGGTCGGGGAGGGTCTTAGGAACGACCTCGTCGTATGGAGGAATCGTATGCAAAACCGACGCGAAGGCGAAACCCGCGTCCCGAGAGCCAGCAATGTTTATTCCGAGGCGATGCATACTTTAAAGTTACAGCAATAAATAGATAATGGTTTTAGCTTTGTAAATAGAAGGGCATCGGGACGAGAACAACGCATGAGCTTTCGCGTCGTCTCTGCAACCGAGTCCTCAGGCGGTAACCCGGTAATCAGCTGATCCGCCGATCAGCTGATCGCCGAAACAACGACCGTTTCTTTTTCTTGTAACGTCCGCGCAACGATGCGTCGTTGAACGTTCTTGGTGTACTTTTCGGCGCCACTTTGAGGGTGTAGCACGACGAAAGTGGAGAGACGAGGATACTTGGATGAGGTAAAACGTAAAGATGCGAGGACCGCGTCCGATGGAGCTCCAGATTTTGTTCGAGGTCCGTACGCGAGAAACAACGCGAGACGCTCATCTAGAGCTACGTATATAACCGACGCATACGTAGGGGCCGACAGCAATAATAGAGTACAGGTTTAGGCCGTGTAAATAAAGCGAAGGAAAGTAACCCACTGGTCGATTAGTCGTTTTCACGTCCAGCCTCCGGATTCAGAGCGAGAGCGGACCCGCGACCCCGACCTCTCGCTTTTACTCGCCGAGGGAAAACCTGAGACTCGGGTCTAGACGTGGAAAATGTCCAGCGAGAGGAAACGAGGGAAAGAGGGAAACGGCGGGAACTTGTGGACAGGTTGCACGTTATCAGCTCGGAATCCGCGTCCAGAAGGGAGTCGATCCTCGTCTAACGATGATATCCCGGTGGACGTGGATACCGAGCGAGTTTCGACTGGGATCGCGATTCCTTTTATTATTAATATTATTGTTTTCATATACTAAACGTCCCTATCGCGAGGAACGGCGGACCGAATTCTGTCGAGATGGAGAGACCTGCGCGCGAGGCAAACGTTTTACGAGGAACGCCTTTCGATGGGATTTTGCGAAAGAGGGGAAAAGGAAAGAGTGAAAAATCCGAAAAGGAGGGTATACACGGATGCCCAAGTGCTGCGCGCCCTGCAAATTTGTGACATGACTGCTCTCAGAAGCCCCCCTTGACCCCACGATTCCCCACCCCTTTAGGTTATCCCATAACGACTCGAGCGAGGAACGCGAATTATTATAACGATAAATCTAGAAAGGACGGCGATAATTAAGTTGTGAATTTTTGTAGCGAACGTTTTTATTTCGCCCCCCCCATTCCCCGACCTCGTCCCGCCCCTCGCGGGGGCCGCCGTTTGTGTGTACAACCGTGGACAACGTTACTGCGATATATAAATGAGAAAGAAAGAGAATAACATGAGATAACGTTAAAATGAAATGAAAAAACCAAGAAACATCAGATGTATTGTAACTTTTTGCATTTAGTATAATATACCTGTACCTTACTACCAAGAGTAGCTCGACCGTGTAGTACTTCGATCACCAGTCGCAGGGATCGGTCGTCCATTTGCGATTAACTCGGTCAATTATGAGCCAGCCAGACGCGAGCATTTTGCCATTAATTCCGCCAATTGTATTCTATTAATATTCTATTTCTAGAAATTTAAATTTCATCGTGGTCCGCGCGACAAAATCGGCCCGGCGGGACCCGAGCACTTTGCGATTAATTCCGTCGATTATGCTCGCTCAATGTTCCATTTTTATTAATTCAACTTTTATCGCGGTCCCGCGGTTTGCGTAAAAATCGGGCCAGCGATGAGACGCGAGCGAGTCGGTTGCACAATCGCGCCAGTCCGTCCGATTATGGCCGGGGTAAAAAAGAAGAGTCGGATAATGGTCTCGCGTGTGTTCGGCCGCGTACGCAAAGAGCGAGACGGAGCGATCCGGCATGGGGGTGTAGGAAGAGTCGATGAGATCATCCTGGTCCACTCTTGGCGACCGGCGACGAGCCAGCTCCTGGAGACCAGCTCGGTCAGTCGGTACCGGTCCACCGACCGATCAGGATCGACAGAGAGATCGGTGCACCACCTCATTGATACCATCTCCGAGAACACTCCTTTGGTGAGTACCTGGTCGATTGTCCCGATAATGCGATGCGCTGGTTTAAATGTGATATCATCCTTGGCATGCGGTAATCGAAGCGTCTCCGTTGCTCTCCCTCTTGTACGAGGACGGCCCTCAATTTTGCCCTACCACCTCGAGGACGACGTGGCCAGACTCGGTGGAGCTATACCTGAAACGAGAAAAATCACCTGAGCGAGAGCGTGCAGTCTGCGCGAGATCGAGGACGTAGTACACATTGCACTCTGAGAAAAACTAGTTGGTCGAAAGAAATAAATATGGTCCCTGAATCATTTATAAGTGCAAGGAACAATTATTTCGTCGATGAGAAAAATTATATCGTTGATTTAAAGGAGTTTTGTTTATCCTTCCTGACATTTCTTTGGACGCGTTAGATCGCAGAATTTTGTTGATGCAATGCATATTTCGGTCAACCATGTTTTTTCTTTTCTTTTCTTTTTTTTTTTTCTTAGGGCGGTACTACGGTACTACGATAATTTGATATCATGATACGCGTGTCGGGAGCTTCAGAAGACTCGACAACGGGAGGGGCCGTTGTGTTTAGGTTTTACATTTCCTGGAAACTTGGCATCACCCTGGCACACTCGGAAGCTGTGCAAGTGCCCCTCTGAGTTAACCTCGGCGAAGGCGTCGTCCCATATTCCAGGAACCTGAAAGTGATAAGAAGTACAGGGTCGACTTCGGGAAAGATTCGTGAAATTGAGATTATTAATGGGGAATTCTGTTCACTAAGTAATGGGTTTGCGGGAGGGGAGTCTATTTTGAGACCGAGGAACCGATGGAAATTCGGCGGGTTATCGATTTTGCGGAAAATTTGAGAAACGCTGGACTGGGAGTTCTAGGCTCTCGGGTGGGCGTTGGTTCGCCTTGGTCGAAGCCGAAAGCTCCGGAAATGGGAGCCTTCTCGACTTTGCGGAAGAGAGACTTCGAGGTCTTGAATTTCATCCGGCGCCTACTAACGACTTTTCGGTCCCCTGGATTCGTGAATAGGTAACCGGAAGACGCGCGACACTATTTTTAAAGTCTGCACCCGGTCTCCCCGGGTATCCCGCGAGTATCCAGGTTAACGGTCGCGACTTTGGAAAACCGAGCCGTGAATAAAAGCGGATCGTTTCTCGCGAACTCCGAGCTTTCCGGCATTCGGATACGCGAGACGCGACATCGAAATCGGAGCTCGACTTAAAAGCTCGAAATTCACCTTAAGAGTGCCCACCTCTTCCATCGGTGACTCGATTTTTAACCCTTGCATCCGCTAGGCCTGACAAAAAGTATCCTAGAAAAAAAAAGAAAAAAAAAAGAATCACCAACCAAAGTTAAGCAACGTCGTCACGGTCAGAACCCTTGACGGGTGACCGCCCGAAAAGCCTGCTCCCTCGTTAACTGCAGGTCAAAATTTATTTTCTAAATTTACGCGTGCCTTAGCTCGACGGGCCGATTGTTTTTCCTTTTTTAAACATCTTTCCAAGACAGAAATTAAGGTATCCCAGTACCTATGTACAAGCTCTACGAGTAGTTCAATTCGATTGCCCATTTATCATTCCCCAGAGAGGGTGCGGATGTACATCTCTGTCTAACGTTACAATATACAAGGGGTTGTTTGATTCCTGATAAAAGGAACTCTGACAAAAGTGAGCATCCAGACCTTCTTATGGGCAACGTCATGCCTCGCTAATAAGAAACCGATCACGCGACGCGGACACGCAATGCGGAGCGCAGTGAGTAGCGAAGAGGAGCGCACTGGGCGTCGAGTAGCACGAAGAGAAGCGCAAAGAATAGGAAAGGAAGGAAGCGCAACGAGTCCGGTACAAGTCTCTAACGAAAATAAGACCGGGTCGAACAAGCCCGGTGACCCGAGGGGTAGGGTCATCGAGGAGAGACAAGTCCATGGAAAAGCAGGGCGACGCGCCGGAGTACTCCGCGCGGAACGCGGGATTGCGTGGGCCGGGACGCACCGCGTTCTCCAGGGTGTCCGCGGTCCGCCGCGGGTGCGTAGAAGGGGGCCGGACACGCGGAACTCGAGGAAGGGAACGCGTCCCGCGCGCACGCGACGCCGCACACCGACGCGTCCCATCTACCCACACTCGGAGGCGGCGTTATCGCGACATCCGGAGAATTACTCCAGCTCCAGTCCGTCGAGTAGCGGCTGGCAGTCATCGCTCGAAATACAGCGCCGCCATGCGGAGATACGCCCCTGCACTCCTGCACAAAGACAATTCATTATGTATAAATATCAATCTGCACGCACTCGATGCGATATGTAAACCGTATAATCTTTCATGTAAAGGCTTTTATCCGCGAAAGAGATATATGACGTCGTGCAGGCGGAATGGGATATATAACAGAGAGAAACGAGCAATCAATTTGCAGACTTGATATGCAGATCTATGACGGCCGATTTCGGTGATTTGATTGGCCAGTTCTTAAAGATATACTTGTAACCAAGGGCTCGCTTGAACGGCGATCTTCCACAGAAAGGGTTGAATATGTTTTAATCAAGCTGCAAATATTAATTGTGATATGTAAACTGTAGGTTTATAGATAAGCTGAATGATGTGGATCTAATAAAATCACCTGCTCCTTCCGTTTATGGGGTGGCTCACTTGCACGGTGCTTTGGGATCTCCGGGGATGCTCTGGAGGTTTTGGCGAGAGCTTTCCATTCCTTCGGGATCCCGTCGGATCGCTTTGCTGGCGCATTGCCTTAAGCGTACTTGACACGATTATTTCGGCCTCTTACTTGCGATCTGCCTCGCTCGCTCTTAATGATTTCTTCATGCCGCTCGACCATTTGTCAACGCCTTCGTATGGTTCTGCCATATTCGCGTCATCCTTCGCAGAAATCCATCCGCCTCGTATACTCTATAAAATGAAGAAATACTTTTAAAAATGTCTTCGGTATTAATCCTCGGAGAGTCTGGAGTTATTCGTCTAGTTTATTCCTCGATCCGAGGGAAATCGTTGGAAACGGAGGTTTATTATCGGCCTTTTATTTTCGTAGTTAGGTGAACGCGCCGGGCTCCGATATTGCGACATATTTCGAGCACGTCGCGTATGGGTTCGACTGGAAATAGATTCATTGACCGGCGTTCGCGATTCGGGAAAGCGAAAAGGACCCGGCGACTCGCTAGAGAAGTCTCTCGATCTGGAACAAGCAAGAAAACGGGTTATCGAGCCTTGTCCTCGATGAATTTATCCCAAGATTTATCGGGTCTCCGCGTGACCCCGTAGGCCGTGCACGAGACGAGAGCCTCGGCTCCGAGAAAGAGGGAACGCGTGTTGCAAGAGAACCGGCAATTGGGCACAATCTTTGCATCGGGTCACCGAGCAATGCTCGTAAATCGCGTCCGTAAATTGTTGGAAATATTGTCGCAAAGAGAGGGAGAGAGAGAGAGGGCGCGTAGGTGCCACGAGAGAGGAGAGGAGAGTAATCGATCGTCCTGTGTTGCAGGGATCGCAATGCGGACGAGGTTGCAGCTGCTGCTGGCAGCACTGTTCGTCGCCGGCCTCCTGGTGGACGATGCAGCCGGACAGGTACGGGACAAAGTGACAAAGGGGCGAAGGCAGCTCGGAGTTGACTCTGTCGAGCTGGAAACAGTAGAGCGACGTGAATTATTCCAATATCTAATGTCGGAGTCACGTGGATAGGCAATAATCATGCATAGAATATTATTGATAACAGCTAATCTATCGCATGGCGCAGTGAGGTTGAAATCTGGCGGAAATAAACACCCAGAGAGACGATGCTACTCCCAGATGGTGTGTCACTGGGCCAAAGATAATGAACGTATCTTCCGCGAGCAGGGCGCAGTCACATATTTTCTAGTTTTACATCACCGCATGACGTCTCTCTGGTGTTGTAATGCTCATAAAATCTATTCCTCGATACAGAAGGGGTCGCAGCCGCGATCCGCGAAGCAATCGACTATTGGCCCGATGAGTAAGATCGGCAAGAGCCAATTAAATTTAATGTCCGACCCATTTGCAGAGGAAGAGGAAGTATCGCAAGCGGCCCGTCACGACGACAGAGGCGAGTCTTCAGGATGAGGTGATGAACATGCTGGAAGCTGACGAGATAGCCGAAGAAGCCGGGCAGATGACCCGCGGCGAGGACGATGAACTCACGGCCAAGGAGGCTTATCAGATAGATCCTTGCCTGGACAAGCACTGCGGAGCCGGTCGCATATGCCAGGTCTGAAGACTCAACACCATGACCTACAACGTAAAACGACCATGAAGCCCTCGAATGTACTGGGTGCAGCTAAATTTGTTCTTCGATTACGTTTTCAGCCATTAAAGGACGGTGGGGCGGAGTGCATTTGCGTGGAGACGTGCGACGAAGAGTCCGACCCTCGACGCAAAGTCTGCACGAATTACAACGAGACATTCGGCAGTGACTGCGAAGTCTACCAGACCAGGTGCTTCTGCGAGTCGGAGGATCCAAGGTGTAGAGGCGAGGATTACCGACACGTTCATATAGAGTATTATGGCTCCTGCAAGCAGATGCCGGTGCGTTTAATCTAATTATACCTGGAAGCACCTTGACCAAATGCAATAAGTACGTTATATTAACGTGACAATTTTAAACATTTCACCCTGAAGGCCTGCAAGGAGGAGGACATGCTGGACTTCCCAAGACGTATGCGAGACTGGCTCTTCAACATCATGCGTGACCTTGCCGATCGGCAGGAACTGCCTTCTCATTACTTGAAGATGCAACGAGAGGCCGAGACGAACATGACCCTGCGTTGGACTAACGCGGCCATCTGGAAGTGGTGCGACCTGGATGGACATCCTCACGACAGATCGGTCTCTAGACACGAGCTCTTCCCTATCAGGGCGCCCTTGATGGCCCTGGAGCACTGCATCGCTCCTTTCCTCGACTTCTGCGATGCGAACAACGACCATAAAATCACGCTCATCGAATGGGGAAAGTGCCTCCAGCTCGACGAGGTAAAACCTACACCAGGAGCTTAAATTAATTAAAACGATTAGGTAATATCAATCAATTCTGCATATTAACTTTTCGGGGTTCAACTTACTCGTTGCAGGACGACTTAGAGGACAAGTGCGACGAGCTAGCGGAAGCAGCCTCCAACATGCAGTGAGCGATAACCACCGACAAGCGGAGTACGGGATAAGGGCCGGGTCTACCTGAAGAGGGAAAAAAAGTAAATAAGTCGAAGTAGAGCTCGACCGAATCCAAATGCATTTTCTTCCCCCTGGTTACCTGTGCGCATCTCTTGTAGACCTTATCAATAGACCGCCGCAGCCTTTGTCTCAATCGTTCTCCACGACTCCGCTGGTTTACATACTCTGCATCCCGTTTCACGATAACCGGGCTCGAGCCATTACGTGCCTCGAAACACCATACCTAAGCATTCTCAAAGAAACGGAGCCACGCTCCACCTTATAGGACATAGACTCACTATTTTAATCTGTAGTGACTTGTGTATTCGTGTACTTTTAACGTAAGAAGCCCTCTTTCTTAATTTTATTAATAAAGAGTAACTGCCAATCTCCCCTACTCTAGTACCTTTCCCTTCTCGAAACCGACATACTCCACGGCGGGATTAGTCATTTCTGGGCAGATATTTCGAGTAAGAATACCAGTAAAGTAATGAACCTTCATGATTTTTGTGAATTCCAGATCTAACCCCAAATCACCGTAATTAAGTGCGGTGGAACAGGGTTTGAAAACGGTGAGGGCGGTTCAAAATTCAATACGGCCGCCATTTTGCGTTGGCACTCTCGACCATGCGCAGTAGGGTCTTGAGAGGTAGCCATTGCGTTTTTCTTCTTCAACAGCCGTGGTTTGCCGAGATGCCGCACGATGGCGCGATCGCCGGCGGTCGGAGTCGGATCCTCGCTTCCGATTGGCCGAGGGGGGTCACGTGACCGGACCGCGGGACGCGCTGGCAGCGCCAAGCGCGTTTGGCGGGACCGCGCTTAGACGGCGTCGTTGGTGTTCGGCAGGTCTGTCGTGTAGTGAATCGCGAAGCTCTCCTGGCATAATGGTGAGTATCCGCGAGTTTCCGGCGGATACCTTAGCCATCCGCGATTTTCCGAGGCACCTTCGGGAGCGCCAGGGTCTCGGCTAGCTGCTGGCCGAGTTTCGAGGCCGTACCGTGAAAATTAACCGTGATTTTTGTCTGTGAACAGGCTGGTGGAAAGGCGGGCAAGGACTCTGGTAAGGCGAAAGCGAAAGCAGTCTCCCGCTCGGCGAGGGCCGGCTTGCAGGTGAGTTCTCTCGCCGCCCGTCCGTTTCTCGGGGCTCCGTCACCCCGGAATACGTTCTCCAGGATAATCCGCGTCGATCCCTCGCTTAATCCCGAAAAATAGCCCGGTATACGTCGTACGTTGTCAGCTCGGCGATCGCGTTTGGCGCGAAAAACTTCGACGTCCCTCGCCCTTCTCGTTTCGACTTTTCCCGGGCTTTCCGCGGTCGGGTGCCTGTCAAGACCTGCCCCGAAGACGCAGGGACGCAAGAGCTCTCCCCAGGACTGCGGAAACGACGTCATCGGCTACCCTGCTCGAGTATTTTTCGAATCGAAACCATGATCCACGGAAGGATACTCGATGTTTTCAAACAACGGACTCGATGGGACCGTTTACAGGATCCCCCACTCCTCTCCCCTGGATGTTTTCATTCAATCGAAATTTAAGCTGGAAATGGCCTTTCCCCAGACGTGCGTCGACCCGTGGGGCCGTTAATGCGTTTAGTATACGTTGTCGGTGTTTTTATTTCTCCGAGTTAAATAAAGGAAGTTTCGCCAGTCCCGATTGTCTCGTGTTTCGAGGGACTCCGCGTTTTCGCGATTCAATTTTAAACGTCGCCGATGACCCGGTGAGGTGATACATCTCACCTTTTGCGAACAACGAGCGGTCGGCGTAACCGCCCGTGAACTTGCGCGAGACGCAGTCGTTCCTTGTTATTAAATTCGAGAGATCCGTTGAATTATTCGAGACAGACGGCGGTGACAGTGGGTATGCACTGCGAGCGAACGCAGCTTTTCGTGACAGGGCTCTAGGTGCGGCGAAATATTTTTAGAGACGATCATACGCGTCTTGGCACGCTCGTGGGAGTAACCGGACGTGGTCGCAGGATCGGCCCCGCCATCGGCGATTCATTAAACGTGGCGCTCTCAGGACGAGTGAACACCTCGTCGAGGGCTGGACGGGAGGTCAGGGCGTCGGGAAATTTCGAATCGAATCGTACTCCGTTCGATATTCGCTGGGCAAAAGGGAGATCGGCGATCTCGGCCTAGCAGACATGCCGCGCTCGCGGAAAGGACTCCCGACTTTTCGGAAAAGTCACCAAATTGAGAATCGTCGGAATCTCGCGTGGAATCCACGCCCGGGCGAGAGGATAATCGAGAAAAGCCGTGTCATCGCGCGTCGTTCGATATTTCTTGAACGAAAAGCTGCTGACGCCGAGGCGGCCGATGTTTTCCGGACGGGTCGCGACCCGACGACCTAACCTGAAAACGTCCGCCCAGATATCGACAGCCCGATCCCGCGATTCGAGAGATGCTCGAGATACATTATTCACGTTTGTGCACTGATTGACGTTTCAGTTCCCCGTTGGCAGAATCCACAGGCACCTGAAGAACAGGACCACGAGCCATGGCCGAGTCGGGGCTACCGCGGCTGTTTATAGCGCCGCCATCTTGGAGTACCTTACGGCCGAGGTGAGCGCGGTTCGCTTTTGAGGTTAACTCGTGGAAGCAGGAAGGGGCGAGGAAAGGGGAGAGACTAAGTTACCTCTGCGCGGTAGTCTGTGCACTATACCGCCGCTATCTTGGGGTACAGTGACGGGCATTATGGCATTCGTGTCTACTGGTGTACCTTAAGACCTGGGTCCAGGGTCAGAACGTTGTCAAAATTCTTTGCCAAATTTTTTACTTCTTCGGGTGTCTCCAAATGGTGCTACTCGACGAGTACCTTCCTGTATGTAAACTCTCCGACTCTACAAATTTGACACACCTTCGACGATCGAACCTGTTGTAAGGTATCTATTTAACAAAGTTCTTTGATTGTGGACACAGCCCTTAACTGTTCACTTTTGAGGCTGCATCGTAGAGTCAGTATATGGAGAGGAGAGGCAGGGTTACCTCTTCCTACGTGGTAAAGTCAATTGCATTATACTACGCTACCTGGAGGACGGTAATGCACATGAATACCTTTCTATTACATTGACATCGTACTTGTAGATGAGACATTCGTGTCCATCGATGTACTCTACGAGGCGAGCGCGGTTTAATTTTGAGATTAACTCAGGTCGATGCGGGGCAAGGGCAGGGGGGCGACAGGGTTACCTCTGCCTGCGCGATAAAGTGCGTTGCACCGACTCGTGGGAGTGCGACGGAGAGTGCGGTCTTTTATAGTCGGAAGTGGGAAGAGCTATTGGGCTGCTCGTTGAAAACCGGTGTACGAAGAGGACCGAGTTTTAAAACGGCGGACGAATCCCCGACAAGGGTGGGGTGACGGTGGGATGTTATTGGCCCGACGGCGCCATATTGGAATTTGCCTTCCATCTGCTCTTTTCCCGCCCTTCGTGAAAAATGCCCGCCAAACATGGAATGCCGTGAACTTATAGATCGGATTCATTAGCCGAGAGAATTACGATAGAGGGTACAGAGGTTACAGGTGGGGTTGAAAAATTATTGGTTTTGTGGTGGGGTAGATACAAGCCATCGAACGTCCTGTGATAAATTTGGACGGACACTAAAACCAGGGATTCTCAGCCTTTCTTCCACTGTATGTGGAATGAATATTAGTATCTATTGAGTTTTTAATTTTTAAATGTATATATGTATCAATTTCACAGGTCTTGGAGTTGGCGGGGAATGCTTCCAAAGACTTGAAGGTGAAACGTATCACGCCCAGACATTTACAACTGGCAATTCGAGGAGACGAGGAGCTGGACAGTCTCATCAAAGCAACCATTGCCGGAGGAGGTACGTTTCGACTGTTTTTACAAACTTGCATATTTCTTTCTTTCTGTTTTCGCAGGGTCGTTGATTTTATATCCGATACTCATACTGTGTCGTTCTGTGTTACAGGTGTCATCCCACATATCCATAAATCGCTGATCGGCAAGAAGGGTTCACAAAAACCAGCCTAATTTAGTGATTGGTTATAAGAGAATTGAAAGACATGCAAACGAGAAGAAAATCAGAAGCTGCACGGGGAGAGAGTGATCGTTGACAAAGTGTACCTATCTTACTAAATTGATCGAGGGACAGGCGTGATATATATATATATATATAGTTATATAAATAAAACAAATATTGATATAATTTAATATAGGTAAGAAGGTTGAGAGAATGGTGAAAGTAAGAGATTGCGTTTGACGTTTGGAAAAAAGAGGGAGAGAGGGCGAGGGGAAAAGTGTATTAGCGAGACGGCATTCTGCATAATTGAGTTCCAGCGATCGCGGACCGCCGGGCGATGTGTTGTAACATGGCTCGTTTGAGTCTCGGCATCTTCCGATGTCGCATTATATCCTAGAGTATTTAAGAGACCCGAGGTACCGCACGAACTTAGAACGGGCACGATCACTTTTCCGCCGCGCACGTCACTGGTGCTTGACTCGATAATTCTGTTTACGTTTGGTCAAGACCGCGATGCGTGTCTTGAATTTAATCCACGAGTGGCGTTCACGTTTACATTACGGGCCTTAGCTTATTCTACCAAACTTGACGCGTGTTGGTGCCGACCACGAAATACGTCGACGCGTATTTCCATCCCGTTGTGCAGTAGATCTTGTTGGTGTTTAGTAAGGCGGACGAAAAAAGAATAAGAGAAAAGAAATGAAAAATGCGACAGGAGGTGCATCGATTTTCTCCTTGTCATTAAATACTCTGGGCCTTCTTCCACGAAGCATCAGAGAAATTGCGGATAAAGAGTTCCGCATTGAGAACTTTTAATTTTGGACTAACGTTCTATCCTCAAAGTCTATTTTTGTCATGTATGTATCGGACCGAGTCTGCTTTTAAAGTTTGGTCTCGCAATCTCGATTCCCAACGCGAGTATTATTTTTACACGTTGTATTAACACGGTTATAGCCACTGTAGCATGTCCACTTGATTTTCGTTTCCCTTTTAATGTTCATTTTTTTCCCTTGTCCTTTTTTTATTTTTACTTATTTTCACCTGCGCGCGTGAAATTGCCGACGAGCCCGAACGGTTCGTCGACTGATGCTCGAGATTGCGAAACTGCAAGCTCCCAAGGCGAAAAGCTTTTTATCCAGGCAAGGGCAAACCTGCTATATACATATATACATATATATATATATACATACATATATAGTTATCCAATTGAAGCCACTGAATTTGTAAGCTCAACGTAATAAGACCGTTTCTTCGAGTGTTCTCTCTCTTTTGTTACTATTAGGAAGCTCTTCGTTTTACTCTCGTATACAACTTGTAATTGTTGCGTCGGGAAATTTACCTAAAGTAACTTCCATGTATACCGTCGGTGAATTTACCATGGACACGCCAGCCATATGTAAAACGTTCATTTTTCACAATAAAGCGTAAAAGATTTTACTATTACCTAAGGGGCACGCCATACACCCCTTTGACTCTTAAAAAAAAAAAAACCCATCTTACGCAACGTGCTTCTTAAGAGCCTTCGTTTCGTTTTACGTATAAAGGAAAAATCTCGCATAATTTGGTCCGATTTCAAATATGGTAGCGCGGAAGTTTCGCGCGCCGCTCGTGGCGCCATCTAGCGGCGCGCGAGAGGACTCGGTAGGCGACCATGACGGTTGTCCGGGAGCGCGGCGCGTTTTTCGTTTTCTTGTTTGCCGAGTCGGCACTCGTACGGCGAGTGCGCGCGCGAGTGGTCGTGTTACGATCCTGTACGGGTGTGCGGGCTCCCCTCCCCCTCGTACCGGTGTCGAGTAGCGGCGAGCAGTCTCCTTTCACGAGTCCGTCCGGTCGGGCGTCGCGCGCAGCCGCGTTCGGGGTCTCTGGCGTGCCCGGGGCGTCTCATTCGCGCTCCGACCGCGGTGGCGAAAGCAACCCCCTTCGACGGTACGCCCTGTGCACTCGGCGCTGCCGGGCCTGCCGACAGGTTAGCGCGCTATCGGCGCAGGTCGTTTCCCTCGCGCGTATATCTGGAGGCGACCGCATAAGGGGAGAGAGCGAGTCCGGGGCGGACGATCGCGCGGTCCGCGAGGCCGACGCGGCTTCGAATATCTCGCGGCGCGGGCTCGGCTGCGAGTGGCGGCGCGACGCGCCGGGTCGGCGGCCCAGGCCGCGCAGGTGACGAGGATGAGTCGCGTGGCGTGAACCCCAGGACGGAGTCAGGACCTGCCCGGAAGATGCCTGGACCTCGCGGCCCGAGAGCGGCGCCCGGCGCAAGGTGAGTGCCCCAAAGCCTAGGTAGGGACTGGCACACCTGACCGTAGTATATATACCTGCGCCCGGCAGGTATCCAGGTACGAAAATACTCAGGTACCCGGATGCTCTCGCGATCCAGGATGTTGGACGACCTTGAACGCCGGCCGCTTTACCACCGCCGCCGAATGCCCTCTTTAAACGTCCCATAACCTTCTAAGGGTAAAAAACAACTTTCCATTAAAAAAAAAATGAGTACTAGGAGTCGTCACGGGGAAATTCTCTTAATCGCGAGCGTCGATCAAATTCCCACGGTTGAATGGATTTGTGCAAAATGTTTGTGTATATATATATATATATTTTTTTTTTTTAAGATATTTAGAGTTGACAGAATTATTCCAACTTTAATTATTTCCGAGAATGTCGATTTTCTGTCTCTTCTCAGCCCTTATTTTGTATCAATTGCAGCCGTGATTCGAAGGTTACGGGGAGATAGACGCTTGATTAATAATAATAATTCCCCGGCAAAAGAAATCGGTATGCGGGGAGGGTGGAATTTTATATTCTCAAAGGGTGGCGAGCATCCGTGTCTCGAATCGCGATAAGGCGCGAGACTTTGATAAGGGGTGATCGTATCCGCGATCGCGGGGGATAATTATCGTCTCGATATCGACGGAACTCGCGATCGCGGGGGATAATTTTCGTCTCGATATTGACGGAACTCGCGATTGGCCGGAACGCAAGGTCGCGCGGCGCGGGACGCCGCCGCGCCGCGGTGAAAGTCTCGCCTCGGCGAGGAGATAGGCCTTCGCCGAGATAGGCTCTCTCGTAGGAGTCCCTGAACCGAGAGAAACGACGAAGGAAAAAAGAAAAAACAACCGAGAGAAATGACCGGCGTTGAAGAGACGGGGGAAAAAATGGTACTCCAGATCGTCCCTTAGAAAGGATCCGTCTCTCATCCTTCAGGTTCTAGAAAACAAACCCTCCGTAATCCCTCGAGCCAAAAGAATTACCCCAACATGAATTTTGCAGTCACCTCTTCGATATCAACCGTTTATCATTTTATAATTTATAACCTACGGTTTATAAAGGAATCCCTCGGTTTGTCGTAATGGCAAAGTGCCTCGGTAATCTCGATCGAGAGATCGAATGAGAGGTGAAAATTGTCGATATTCCTGGGCGTGGCTTCGATGCCACGTGGCGATATAACGGGTTAATCGCTAAATAATGTAACAATTAATCTCGGGATCGTCTGTCGCGATCAGACATTGTTTTCTGCCCTCGATGGGGAGCCGACCTTGCACGTAATTAATCAATGAAAATAGGCTTAGGTGGAGGAGCGAGCGGGCCCTCTCCTCCCCTCGGGGTCCCTCTCGCTCTTTCTCTCTTTAGATCTTCCCCGCTGGTCCCCGCTTGCATTCTTTCTCATCAATTACGCTCTCCGACATTGCGTAAGCCCGCCTGGTTACGACGCGCGGCTAAGAAACCGCGAGGCGACGCTCCAACGCGATCGCTACGTGTCCCCCCTGTAATCATCGGTGATTTCCCGTTTTATTCCCTGACGGGGCATCGGCTTCGATCGCGACTACCGCGGATAATTCAATATCTTGCCGGGATATTTCCGCCTGGCGGATAATTGCGACCTAAGAGTGTATCTGGCGACTTTGTGCGACTTCCAGCTCGCGTTTAGGACTCTATCGGAAGGGTTAAACCGAGTCGCGTCTTAAATTTACCTCTCTTTCTTCATTAATATATAATGTTAATTACTGATTGTGTATAAGAACACGATTTCAGGGTTGAAATCCGTCGCACTTAAAGTTTTGCAGTGATTCGCAAATTTATTCGCACTTTTTCGCATTTCCATGTTTTCACTTTTTCATGTTTTCACATTTTCGCATTTTCACACTTTTCACGTTTTTCACATTTTCACGTTTTCACATTTTCACATTTTCACATTTTCACGTTTTCACATTTTCACTCTAGTGAACTTTACTCGTAACGCCGCATTCGCTCCTCGGGTTATTCGTGGCGTACCGGCGTAGGGCTTATCCTCATCGGAAGGGTTAATTTGTCCGTGATTATACGGTTTTTTCCTCAGGCTTGGAGAGGCGTAGAACGTGAGTTTGTTCGCTCTTGGCGAGCCGTAAAGCGTGTATCCCGGGTCCGCTACTTAGCCGCTACGCGGGGGTCAGTAGGTGAGCCCGCCGACTCCTTAACGACTCCTGCAGGAGCCTGGGCGAGGGGAGGCCTCACCTGCGAGTAGCCGGTCCGTTAGCGGTGCCCGATTAATACGTTCGGGTCGAAGTACGAGCTTAGATTCAGGTTCGGAGTGGGTCTTAGGCCTAGGTTCAGGTTCGGTCTCCGGGTCATCGACCAGCCTGCACGAGGCGGATGCCGGAGTTCGAGTCGCCACTCGCTTCTCCACTTCCTTCTCGGCGACCACTCTTTTTTCTTTTTTTATCATTCCTGGGCTCTGGGATACGGTTTATATGGGAAGCCTCGCGCCACCGGGAGCAAGGAAACTCCGTTTTGTCGTACACGCGGACGAGTTACTTGGAAAATTGAAGAACGGGGTTTTTATAGGATTTTTTAAGACACCTCCTAGGATGCGCGAGGTCTTTCGATTAGGAGGAAATGTTACGAGGGACGTGTTTCAGGGTGTCATTGTCGGCTTTCTTGTACCGGTGGCGTCCTTTGCTCGTAAGACGAAGGTTACCGCAAATGTTGCTCACGTTACCCCTGACTTATCTCCGCGTTTACTCCTCACCTGGCGGCAGGTGACCGCAATCGTAGTGACCATTACCGCGGACACGCGACGCGGTGCAGTTCGGCGACAAGTGCACCCGCGACTCGCGTCCTGCATCTGAGATGGACTCGTTAATACGAGATTAATTGGTAATTATGAGATTGACTCGTGAATCCGAGATTAACTGGAAAATTGGCGTTTTACTCGTGAATCCGGGATTAATTGGCATATCCGAGATTAATTGACATATCCGAGATTAACTGGTAAATTCGGGATTCACTCATTAATCCGAGATTAATTGGCAAATTCACGATCGATTGGCATATCCGAGATTAACTAGTGGATCTGAGATTTACTGGTAAATTCGCGATTAACTCATAAACTCGCGATTGACTCCTGGAATCGACGTTGACTGGTGGAATCGACAATTGGCTCGTGAATCCGCGATTTGCTCTTAAATCGGCAATTGCCTCGCGTACCCGCGATTAATTCGCGCGTCCAACGAGCCCCGGGAGGAAACGCGAGAACTGGAGCGTGGCGATCGCTGATAGCCAATTATACCGAATGCTTCGATAAAATTCATCCGGTTTATTTCCGGTCCCTGAATTATAACACGCGACGAGCCGAGGAGGAGGACGTAGCTACCGCGGAGTCGACGGCTTTCGACGCGAAAGGCACCGAAGTATTCCTTGGATGGTGCCGGCCGAGATAACGGCACTTCGTGCCGATCCTCTCCTCGGAAGGCGATACCGACGAGGAGAGGAACACGGAGGTGTGTGTACGCGACTTGTACGCGCCTTGCTCGAAGAAAGGAGAGAGAGAGAGAGAAAAAAAAAGAAAGAAAATTGTCCGCGGTCACGTATCCCGAGCCATTCGAATCCAGTTTTCGGTGGGAACGAGCGAGACCTGGGAACTAAACTCGAGTAGAGTCCCCATATCATTTTCCTACGTCTGATACGAGAACAGAAAAATGTCACGACGCTGCCGTAAATGGCTTGTCAGTGAACGGGTTAAAACGCGATAATCAAACCTCGCGGAATTAATTTCCCGTGAATTTCGATAATCGAAAGGATCACTGCGGACCGTTCTTCCTGTTTATTTATTTACCTTTCGCTTTTTTCTCCCGTTCTCGTTTCAGAAGAGTTCAATTTAATGTTTAACGAAATGATCCGCTCGTGCGAGCGCTCCGACCTCGCCGGATTAATTCCCTCGGGAATTCGAGGAAATCGCACATAATTTCGGGGGATTCGCGAGGCGCGATAATCGCGAAGTGCGAAACTTCACGAGCCACGGGATGTGAGATTGATATCGGGATAAACAGATGGGGAGAGAGAGAGAGAGAGATGCTCTCCACGTCGCGTTACGGAACTCGCGTCGCGAGATTCCCTCGTGGAGCGCAAATGAACGTATACACCTGGAGGTCTAATTAGAAGTCCCGCGCAGGTGTAAACGGGACACTTAAAAAGTGCTCCGACGGTGTTGCGATTTGCGACCGAGGACTTACTTCCCATCTCGATCCTGTCTTCTCCATCGATAAAACCGTTGTTATCTTTTCAATCATCATTTGTCATTTTGCAATCCCCCCCCAAATATCGATTCCGTCGATATTGTTGAACAAGCGAGCGTTCATTCCCCGCGAAGTCGGAGTGTCGAGTAAATATCCGAAACGACCGTAATTGAAAATGGCTCGGGAATAATGTTTATCCGAATTTTTCTCTCCTTTCATTGTTTTTGTTTTTTTTTTTTCCATCATTCTCTTTTTCCTATATATCGGTGCTTCGTTGCACGCCGATTGGGGGGGACGGTCGCGCCGGCCGATAAATGGAAAATCGTCCATTTTGGGGAAATTTTACAACCTGCGGGGGAGGGTGGCTGATTTATCGGAATGCCTGCAGTTGCGTGAAAAATAAATATACGACCCTTTTTTCCCGGGACGCTGCGAATCCTGCGTGCATTCGTCCGCGTTTTCGGGCATTGTGTGTGTCTTGCGGTGCGTAATGCGAAAATCGTGTCCCCCACCCCCCCACCCCGTCTGAAACGATACGTACATGAATCAGGTGTACTGTACTCCCTTCCTCCGTTCATACATTTTCCCCCATCCCCCTCCAGTGGAATTTCGATGGCCGATGCCGGATTAACTCCCCTCCACCTCGAAAGTCTATTGATTTAATTGAATTCAGATCCCAGTTAATTAATTACACGCCGACGAGTGTAGCGGCGCATCTGATGCGATTGTCAATCAGGAGGGAGAGAAAGGAAAAAATGGACAATAGGCATCG